GGAGAGCAGCCGGGCGGCGCCAAGAAGTTTCGGTGGCAACCCATGGGAGCCTCCATACCATCTTGCTGGCTCTTCAGCGCGGATCGACGCTGACCGACGCGAATCGACACTCATGGACGCTACATCGACGCTGAACCCCCGCTTTCCCATCGGTCATCCGACGCTAACCCACGTGAATGCACTCTACAGACGGAGCTGCGAGGACACGCAAGGCTCTCATGATTTGCTACCGCAAACAAGGGGACCATGACCAAGACTGAACGCAGAGACTTCGTGCCGATCTTGCTCACCGTCCATCTTGATCGGCGTCATTCCTTGGACCATCCTCGCGAGTCGGCGACGGCCGACGTGGACCATGACCAAGATCGCATCGACAAGACCCCGCGACATCGTGTCGGTCATGGTCCCCGCGTTTCGTCCCCCGATGACGCACGATGACATTAGCGACCTTGCGCGGTGGCGTACGCGGGCCGGCAGCGCGGCTCGCAACGTTGGAGACGAGGGCGCTCACGCGCGAGCTTGCGCGGGCAGCGTGCGCGCGAAGGTCGGCGCAGCCGACCCCGTTGCTTCCGTCGCCCAACTGCGTACAGTCGAAGCGCTGACCTAAGGAACCCGAAATTAAGGAACGAGGCCCCGCTTCTTCCATAAGTGAAACTTCGACTTCCCGCCGAAAACTCAAGGAAATCGGCGTTGGACAAACCTCCCTTCAGTAAACCTCCCCTTAGTGAAAACGGCCTGGGACCGAAACCGACGGACCTGGACCCGCAAAAATGACGGCCGCGGCGCCCTCCCGAGAACCGAAAACGGCCAATTCCTTAATCGACGCGTCAGGGTAGGAGGTCTAGCAACCTCCGAGGAAAACCTGAGGCAAGGTGTGGAACACTCAGGGAGCACCCAGCGCCTCCCCAACGACAAGGGCTCCTTCTCCAGCGGCCCGACTCTAAACGTACCCCCCTGGAGGTCCGCGCACGGATGCCTCGGATCGGCGCTGGACGCCCCCTGGCCATCGCTCGGACGTCCATTTCCTGTGTTTTTTTGGTTTCGTGCGTGTTTTTTTCGCCAAATGGTCGAGGATGCTCCTAGAAGGTCCTCGCCGAGAAAAAAAAATGCATACGTCCGAGCGATGCCAGGCCCCTAGCGGAGCCTCTGGAGCCGCCCCTGGAGCAACTGCTCGATGATCCGCGCTACCGTCCGTGATCGGCCACGCCCCGCCCCCCCTCGGGGGGGGGCACAAAGGTGGGGGTGGCACAAGCGGGGTTGGAGGGAAAAAATCGCTCCGAACGGCCCCTGGAAGAAGGAAGCGGTTTCAGAGCATCCATCGGGGCGCGTTCCCCGGCCCCACCTTGGGATATCCCTCCCTCTACGACCCCCCCAGGGTGACGTCACGATCCGCGCGCTGGCGCCGCCTGGGAGTCAGCGAATCTTAGGCTTTCCCAGACGGCGCTGGGGCGAATGGTGACGTGACCAGCCCTCTTCCCCCCCATCCCCCCCTGCCAGTCACGCCCGTTATTGACAGGGGATTTAGAAGCCGTTTCTCTCTCGGCGCGCTCCGAGAGCCAGGGAAGGGGGTCCAGGGCCGATCCAAAACATCAGCGGGGGCCTCCGAAACTATGCATTCATGCAGGTTGCTCTCCTTCGAGCCTCCGCCTTCCACTGCTGCACCAGCTCGGGGTCCAGCCCGGCGGGCGCCTCCCCGGAGCTCGGACGACGTGACCATCTCAGCCCAAGCGTTTTTGCTACTGGACGTTGGCCCCGCTTCCTGGGCCCTGGGGCCACCCAGAAAGGGATCCGGCACGAACATCTACACTCCGGGGAAGCGGCCGGGACCTCGAAGGGGCCGCGGGCTGAAAAGGTCAGATCGGCGGATGTCTGAGTCACAGGTCGGGCGAAGGGGGGGGGGCCAGCGGAGGGAGGATCAGCGAAGCAGCTCACGCGGCTGCTCTTCTCGGCGACCCCCGCGCGCCGTGGGCGCCCGTGCATCGCGAAGAAAGCGCCTGGCGGCGAGGCCGAAACCGGCTGCACGCCGCAAATTTCGCACCCATGCCCCAATACTCTCGTCCGCCTTGAGTGGTCCTCGTTGTCTGGCTCTCGGGTCATAGCTCGTCGGCCGATCCGTAACGGAGGCAATGAGTAGCGGAGGGGGGGGAGAAAGGCGCAGCGTTCGCGCACCTGCTGGGCCCCAGAGGGGCTCCTTCTAGGCTCCTTCAGCGCCTGCCTCCTGCAATCCTCGACCCCCCCTCCCCATTGGTCGCCCCCCTACCGTCGTTTGCGAAATTCGCCGGCCCAACGGGCCAGAGGCGTGCTAAGATCTCCGGTAACTGCTCTACAATGTTTCTACTTCGCGCGCGCGGGGCGGCCCCTGGGGGTCCCCAGACGAAAAGTACCCCGACCAGGTCCCGGCCGGGTCCCCCCGAGCGCTCCACGAGCGCACCAACAGGGCTCCGAAAACGTCCCCGAGGACCCAAACAAAACCAAGAGGCCCGCAAGAGGTCCCCAAGATGGTACACGAGGCGTCCGAGATGCCACAAGATCGCTCCAAGACGCCCAAGATGGCCCCCAGACGCTCCAAGAGGTCTCCAAGCGTACTCCCAAGAGGGCCCCAAGAGGCAAAATTCATTGCTTTTCCTTAGGTTTTGGACATATTTTGGCTTTTCCACCTTTTCCGCTTCCCGAAGCCCCAAGACAGCCCAAGACGACTCCAAGATCGCCCCAAGAGGGCTTAAGAGGCCCCCAAGAGAGCCCCAAGACGGCCCAAGAGGGCTCCAAGACGGCCCAAGAGGTCTCCAAGACGGCCCAAGAGGGCCCCAAGAACGCCCCAAGAGGGGGAACACGAAACAACATTTCCAGCCCTCGGCCCCAAGAAGCCCCCAGGAGGTCCCAAGAGGCCCCTAAGAGGCCCCAAGAGACCCCCCAGAGGCTCTCAGGAAGCTCCCAAGAAGCCCCCCAACCGGCCCCAGGAGGCCCCCCAAATACCCCCCGGGCACGCAGGCAAGCGCCAGTGATGCTGCAATATGGGCCGGCGGAATGAGCGAAGCGATTGAATAAGCGCCCACCTCAGGTATCGATGACAAGACGGTAGAGCTCGCCCCCCCTTGCCCCCGCATGTCAAGGGTGACGAGGAAGCCGTACCCCCACGCAGAAAAGGGCTTTCATTCCGCAGCACGTCGCGCTCCCTTTTGGCGCATTCGTTGGCCAATATTGAGATAGACGGGGCGTGGGGGCGGGGCGCTCCGTCCTTCTACAAGTGGGCGTCTTCGCACACGGCGGTATTACCAATACGCCCGAACTCGGGTCGCTGGCGGCCGTCCAGGACGATCGTGGCACCCCCGGAACGCTCTCGGCGAGGCGCGGCGCGACTGCTGGAGAGCATCCCGGGGCTGGAAAACCGCCGAGAACCAACGACAACGTCCGAAAACCCTGAACCCTGAGATCCGACGTCGCGAAACTGTGCATTATCGTGAGCAGTGGCAACGAGCCTTGTAGACCACATCTTTCTGCTGGATTTCTCGAGCTGGGTCGATCTGTGAATGTCCTGGGTGCCAAAAGATATGGCGAAAACGTCCAGTGTGAATAAGAACGCCACGCCAGAATATCAAGGAATCCATTCCGTGCGAAAGTTCCGAGTTTCGAGCCCCCTTCTGTCCGCCCCGATTGGCGCGCCCGAGATGGGCACGGACAAGGTAGGCACAATGACCAACAGCATAGGTGTCCGAAATCCAACAGCGACCGCTGTTGGGCGGCCTTTGTGCCTGAAGAGCGTTCGCGGCGACACCGGCAGCGATTCCTGTTCAAAGTGGAGAGGAACTGCTGTCGGACGTTGACCCCATTCCAAACCCAACGTCGTGTTATTGACTTTCGCAAGAACCTCCAGAAGACTGGACCTCATCCCAGGGGCCGGCTTTTCATCCTGGATTTTTTTTGTACGGTCCTGTGGCCCAGTAGGGCCCCCCAGAAACCGGAATTATACCCAAACCTCCCGTCCTGACTTTTGCAAGACGCGACAGAATCTTGTTTATTTCCGTACCTGTTTCGATGGTATCGACCTTGAGCCCCCACCGACCACGCAGCCCATTCAGATATCAGAAGCAAGAAACGTTGTCGTCGTTCGTTGTGGTTGCCCCATCATGTTGCTGTTTGTCGCTGTGTGTATCCGGTGTCGCTGTTTTTTGCTAAAGGTCCTTTTTGATATTGCACTTGCAATGTACATTGCTAGACTGTTGCTTCATGTTGCCTTGTGTACTCCAGAGGTTTGTGTACTCGTGTCGCTTGGTCGTTTGTGTTACTCCTGTTGTCCTCTTGTTTGTGTGCACTTACAGATGCTGTATGTAAGGTATTGCTCTTTGTCGCCTAACCGTTTTTGACGTTGATGCTGTCGCTGTTGCTATATACTTGCTCGTTGGTGATGTGTTTTGTGAAGCTATGTGTTCGTTTCGCTTCGTGTGTTCGTTCGTGAGGTGAAAGTGGGCGTGACATGGTGAAGAGAAGGAGGTGGATGTGACACAGGAGAATTGGGTGGGGGGGTGACGTGGAGGTGAATTAGGGAGGCCCCACGGCTTTTCCCGAGCCCCTGAAGACGCCAGGTTTCGCGAAACTCGCCCCAAGCGCAAAACCGCGCGCGAAAAGCGGTGCCGAAAAACCGCACACCATCTGCGGAAAACACGATAATACTCGGGAGAAGCAACGAGTCGCGCGAAACGTAGCAAAGCCGCACACGACAATCACGACAACAACGTGAACGAAACGCTGCAGCTAGTTACAAAAAGCTGCACAACGCCACAAAGCTGCATGTAGCTTACACGCTGTGCTTTACAACTCATTTCGACTGTTTGTGGATTTTTGCAAACATCACCGTGCAGCTGAAAAAGAGAAGCAGCACACCAGACGAAACAGCAAAACGCGCGAAACACAGCAAACGAAACCACTCACTCGAACTTGCAGAACCACGTGTAGATGTTTGTAGCTTGATGCAGCGTGTTGTATATTTTCTTCTGGGCGCGGCCAAACAGCGACATGTCGCAACTTCGGAGCGGCACACGGCGGCAAGTCACATATTGACAGGTGCCAAGCAGCGACATGTCGAAATGTTGACGCGGCAAACGGCGGCACGCGGCAACAAACAGCGACACAAAGCGATGAACAGCGACACAGCAGCGACATACGAATGTAATTGCTTGTAGCTGTTTGTAGCCCTGTACGATCATGATGATGATGGTGGTGATGATGATGATGCTGATGCTGCTGATGATGAGAGGAGGATAATGATGCTGCTAATGATGATGAGGATGATCCCCTCAGCTTCGGGCAATGGAGCTCCCGGCCAGCAACGCCATGCAGCACTCGCAGCGCCGTCGACTGCTTGGCGAGCAGTCGTGCCCCGGCGTCCAAAGCTTTCCGAGCCGCATTGCTGGACTCCAGAGCGCAGCATGCCATTGGCACCGCATCATGAACTAGGATGATGACGATGACGATGACGATGACGATGACGATGACGACGATGATGATGCTGATGATGATGATACTGACGATGACGATGACGATGAGGATGATGATGACGATGATGATGACGACGATGATGACACCGATGACGATGACGATGAGGATGATGATGACGATGATGATGATGATGATGACGACGATGATGACGCCGATGACGATGACGATGACGATGGCGATGATGATGATGATGATGATGATGATGACGATGATGACGATGATGACGATGACAATGGCGATGATGATGGTGACGATGACGACGACGATGATGATGACGATAACGATGGCGATGACGATGATGATGCTGCTGCTGCTGCTGCTGATGATGATGATGATGATGATGATGATTGCAATGACGACGATGACGATAACGATGACGATGATGATTATGCTGATGATGCGAATGTTGACAATAATATCAATAATAATCATCATCATAATGATGATGATGATGATGAGGAGGAGGAGGAGGAGGAGGAGGAGTGGTGATGATGATGATGATGATGATGATGATGATGATCGTGATGATATTGGCTATTGTGATGATGCCCCAACTTCCTTGAGCCCGAGAAGCGTGGACCACGTCCCAGTCGCGTGATCTCTTCGAAACCCGCGACAGAGACACCCCCCCATCATGGTGTCCTTCCCAGGAGAGTTCTTTTGGAAAATCACCCAAACCCAAACCGAAATAATCTAAAACGCCAGGCACCCCTGCGATAAATCGACAGGGGGCCGCGGATCCAAGACTCCTACGGCGAATCCGCCGCGGGAAGGTTCGAACATCCACACAGTCCACAATACCGCCGCGGCGCGACCAGAAGGCACGCCAGATCAGGATCGACGGGGCTGCTCTGCCCACGGCGGGCCTCGGCCACGCATGGGTTCCCCGACCCAGATCAGAGGAACGGCTTCCCCTCCTCCCTCCCCCCTCCTCCTCCCTCCTCCCTCCCCCCTCCTCCCTCCTCCCTCCTCCCTCCTCCCTCCTCCCTCCTCCCTCCTCCCTCCTCCCTCCCTCCTCCCTCCTCCTTCCCGAGAAACCCGAGCCCCCTCCCGAGACCAGAGTGGTCCTTCCCTCAGCGCCCTGACCGTACCCGAGAGGACGGCGCGAAGGGGGAGAGCCAGAGGAGCGGTGCCTTGAACTGGAGCCCCATCGGCTGCACGCAAGAATGCCCCTGGGTACACGTCGGTCAGAAGTAGGTAGAAACATGAAGTAGGAAGGCAGATATAGTAGATTGGGTCCAGGCCCCCCCAGGGAATAACAAAACACAGCAAAAGCGTGTCGATTCTTAAGTAGGAAAGCGCTTGAAATAGATTGGGATCTGGGAATCCAAGAATAACTACTTTCAGCGACCGGCGTGTAAGAGTGACCTTTGGTGCGCGGCTTCTTGGGGGCCGCGGGGGGACCGAACACGAGCGCGCAAGACGATACTATCGCATCGCGTTCGGCCACCGGGAAGCCCCCAATGGGCCCGCACCAAAGGTCACTCCAGCGAAGGGTCACCCGTACGGGGAAACTCAGAAATGTACGGATTCCTCTACTCCCCGGACCTCTCCCTGGGTGTGTTCAGACGAAATTTTCGGGGCGAATCCAGCGGTGGCGACGAGGCCTCCCAGGAGGCCCCAAAAGGGGGAAAAGAAGAAAAGGGTAGCGGTATTGGAGGGGGACGGGGAGGGGGAGGGGGAGGATGAGGAGGAGGAGGAGGAGGAGGAGGAGGAGGACCAGTGTATACTCAAGAGCCATCAACGATGTTGGAATACACCCTCCCTCCAAGCTCCCTCTTCATAGGCACCTACAACGGTTCATTTCAATTGAAGGATCTGCCTCGTTGGAAGACAACCGTTTGAAGACCCAGAAACATGCCAAAACATTGTTCTCGGGATTCCAACGCCACGGATCAACCTGACTGTTGCGCCTTGACGATCTTGGACCGTGCCAGAACGCCTTTCTTGGGATTTCAACATCGCGAATCAACTTAACGGTTGCACCCTCAAATCCTGAATCCTTCCTAAATAAAATTTCTGGTGCGCTTATGGTGCGAACCCGTGAAATCCTTACAAGTGTTATGAACGAATGTGCGCGGCGCTAAAGCGAGAGCCGCAGTTTGAAAAGGAACCGCCCGCAATCCGTGAAACTCTTACAATGTTTTAGGACGATTGTGCGCAACGCTAAAGCGAGAGCCGCATTTTTTCGAAAACGGGTTATCCTCAATCAGCGAAGCTCGTGCAAATGTTATGAACGAATGTGCGCGGCGCTAAAGCGAGAACTTTATTTTGAAAAGGAACCGCCCTCAAGTCGTGAAACTCTTGCGAAGTGTTAGAAAGCATGCGCGCGGCGCTAAGGCGAGAGCCACATGTTGAAAACCACCGCCCTCTATCTGTGAAACTGTTTCCAATGTTTAAGCTCCAGAGTCGTAAATGATGAGGAAGTCTCAGGCGAAACGCCCGGCCCGCCCTAAAACCTTGTCTCGGGGTGCGACAGGGACAAGTTATGTATAAGGAAAAGGAATGGAGGATGAGGAGGAGGAGGACGAGGAGAAGAAGGAAGATGAGGAGGAGGAAGAAGAGGAGGAGAAGGAGGAGGAGGAGGACCAGTGTAAACCCGAGAGCCATCAACGATGTTGGAACACACCCTCTCTCCAAGCTCCTTCTTCATAGGCCCCTACAACGGTTCATTTAAATTGAAGGACCTGCCTCGTTGGAAGACAACCGCTTGAAGACCCAGAAACATGCCAAAACATTGTTCTCGGGATTCCAACGCCACGGATCAACCTGACTGTTGCGCCTTGACGATCGTGGATCGTGCCAGAACGCCATTCTTGGGATTTCAACATCGCGAATCAACTTAACGGTTGCACCCGCAAAATCCTGAATCCTTCCAAAACACAAGTTCTGGTACGCTGATCGTGGGAATCCGTGAACCCTTACAAATGTTATGAAAGAATGTGCGCGGCGCTAAGGCGAGAGCCAAATTTTGAAAAGGAACCGCCCGCAATCCGTGAAACTCTTGCAGTGCTTATGTGCGCAACGCTAAGGCGAGAGCCACATTGCATTGAAAACGGGTGATTCTCAATCCGTGAAGCTCGTGCAGTTATTCTGAACGAATGTGCGCAGCGCTAAAGGGAGAACTATATTTTGAAAAGGAACCGCACTCAAGTCGTGAAACTTTTGCGAAGTGTTAGAAAGCATGTGCGCGGCGCTAAGGCGAGAGCCGGATTTTGAAAACGACCCGCCCTCAAGTCGTGAAACTATTTCCAATGTTTAAGCTCCAGAGTCATAAATGATGAGGAAGTCTCAGGCGAAACGCCCAGCCCGCCCTAAAACCTTGCCTCGGGGTGCGACAGGGACAAGTTATGTATGAGGAAAAGGAATGGAGGATGATGATGATGATGAGGAGGAGGAGGAGGAGGAGGAGGAGGAGGAGAAGAAGGAACAGGAGGAGGAGGAGGAGGGGGAGGAGGAGGGGGAGGAAGAGGAAGAGGGGAGAGGAGGAGGAGGAGGAGATAGGAGGAGGAGGAGGAGGAGGAGGAGGAGGAGGAGGAGGAGGAGGAGGGGGAGGGGGAGGGGGAGAAGGAACAGGAGGAGGAGTTCCTCCTCTGATCCTACGTACGTGTCGTCGGCCCCGCGCCTCGCGGAGCCACGGCCCCAGCGGCGCCCGGGCCGCGGGAACGGCAGCGCCCCGGGCGGGCGGGGCGCCCAACTCCGCCGGCACGCGCTCCTGCGGGGCGCCGCCGCTGCCGAAGGGGCCCGCAGCCCGCGGGGTGGGGGAGGCCCAGGCTCGCTATGGCGTGGTTGAAGTGGGCAGCCAGAGGCCTTTGACTAGAGCTCGCCATCGCTCGGACGTCCATTCCGTGTGTGTTTTTTTGGTTTCGTGCGTGGTTTTCTCGCCAAATGATCAAGGATGCTCCTCGATGGTCCTCGCCGAGAGAAAAATGCACACGTCCGAGCGATGCCGAGAGAGGAGGAGCAAGCGGCATAAACATAAACTTGTGGAGGTCCGCGCGGAGTTCTTGGACTTGAGCCGGACCCCCCTCGCTGGCGCGTGGAGCGCGCCAGGGACGGCGTCGGAGGCGCCGCCGACGGGGGCCCAGCGCGGATCCAAGAAAGCCGTGCGGAGCGCCAAAAGTTTATGCTTACAGTCGAGGTTGATTGGAGAGGGCACGAGAGAGGACACAAGACACTTCCGAGGGCCACGCTGGCATGGGAACATAGAAGGCATGGGCCGCGAAACACAGGACACAAGGGTACCCTTGATTTGGCAGGGTCATCCTACTAATCAGCCTCGACTGTATGGCGTTTTTTCTTCGATTGACGAATTTCGGCCTCCAGGGGCCTTCGCTGGGCCCCGGGACACCGCCCAGAAACGACCCGGGATAGAAAGCGGGTCCCTGGGATGGGTTCCAGACCTTTCGGCCCCCGAAGGTGAGCGTTTTCTTATTCGGCGTTTTGACATTGGGCGGAAGGGGAGGGGGAGGGGGGGGTCTGGCTCCGGACCTCTGCTTAATGCGACTGTTTGCAGCAGTGCGTCCGATGGGGGAGGCTCCACCTGCTCGAAACAGGCGCCAAAAACAGCCAAGCTCTTTTCCATAGGGGGGGAGGGGAGGATGCGAGGGCCCGCGCCGATCGGCAAAACAATGAATAAAAACGATCACAAGGTCGGCGATGAGAAGAAGCATGACGTCTGAGTCCTGTGGGTTTCCTTGGATCTGGGCGGCGCTGCAGCTCTTCACGCCAGGAGTTTTCGCCCTGTTTGGACCTCGGGACCCTACCATGTATCGATCTGGCTCGGGAGATGCCGCAGACAGATGGGGTCCATGGGGCACCATATTTTGTTCGCGACGCAGGACCTCAGGGTCACCAGGAGGAGGAGGGGGAGGAGGATGAGGAGGAGGAGGAGGACCTTCCCACCCTCATGGCCACGCCTGGAGTCCCTGGACCCCCCTTGGCTTTGGCCCCACTGTTCGGCCTGCCCGAGGGGGAGCGTCGGGGGGGGGTGGGGGGCAGCTCAGGGGGGGGGGGGAACGGCGACGCATCGCCGATAGATCGGTAGTAGGCCCCCCGTGGCGGATCCGCACGTCCCTGGGCGGGCTTGGCCACCAGGCCCACAGCCAATGGCTCCCGCGCTGCGCGAAGCGCGAATAACTGCGCTCTCGCGCCGCCTCCCAAGGGAGAGGAGGAGGACGAGGAGGAATCGGAGCCGAACCGCGAAGCGCGAATAACTTCGCGCCCTCGAGGGCGCCCTTGCATCTCGGCGAGGCGCGGGCGACTGGGGATCGATGCAATCCCCCCCGAGCCTCTCCCCAGAAAAGTGTCAAAAAAGTGTCGAAACAATGTCGAAACAGTGTCTCCCAGGGCCCGGCAAGTGAAAACCCTCGCGTTTCGATGCTTTCTTGGGCGCTCGAAGTTCTTCCTGGTGATCAAGGCTGAAAGTAGGTTGGAGCATCATTAAGTCCCTGGGCGGGCTTGGCTACGAGGCCCTTTTCGGCGAGGAGCGGGCGACTGGGGATCGACGCAATCCCCCCTGAGCCTCTCCCCCCCTCCGCTGCCCCCGCCTGCCTCCGACGGCGGGCTCGTGCCGTGACCCCTCCTCCTCCTCCTCCTCCTCTTCCTCCTCCTCCTCCTCCTCCTCCTCCTCCTCCTCCTCCTCCTCCTCCTCCTCCTCCTCTCCTCCTCCTCATCCTCCTCTCCTCCTCCTCCTCCTCCTCCGCCTCCTCCTCCTCCTCCTCCTCCTCCTCCTCCTCCTCCTCTTCCCTCCTCCCCCCCCCGTGGGTTTCTGACACCGCGTGGATTGAGCAGGGACCGGCCGTTCTGGCATTCCTACAGTCCTACCAAGAAATGTTGTGAGAGCCCAAAAATGTTCTGAGAACTCAAACAATGTTTTTAGAGCATAAACCCGATTGGTTAAAACAAAACAATATCGGCAAGAAATGTTCCAAGAACATTTCGTGGAAACCACAAAAGGTTCTTAGAACACTGTTTGGTAGTGCTATAGGCGAGCCAGGACGCTTCGCCACTGCTTGAGTGGATCGTTCAACCCTGAACGACCGGCGGCTTCTCGATCGCCAGGTCGTTCCTTATTTGCCGATTCTGGGCCACTGGCGGCGTTCAACCTTGAAAGCCCGCGCTGGGGTCGTCGCCGTGCCGACACAACACGAATCTACCGTGGGCAGCCAGGATCAGTCGGCATCGGATCGGGAAATCGGATCGGATTGGAACATGCGTCTGATCGGGCCGCATCGGCACGATGTTGGGATTGAATCGTATCGGCTGCGCCAGGATGTACAGCAGCGCCATGCGAACATCGGGTCACATCGGATCGTCATAATACCCGAATCGAACCGGATCGAGACGGCTAGAGCCGATGTCGAATTCGTATCGATCAGATCGAAATACACCCTGCCTCGCGGGGCACAGATGATCCTGGGTCAAGGTTTCACAGGCCGCCCCCCCAGATGGGATGGTCCCAGGTTTCCACAGGCCGCCCCCGGAAAGATGGTTAGTAGTGGGGACGACGACGACGACGACGCAGACGACGACGCCGACGCAAGACGCCGACGTAAGACGACGACGGAAGACGCAAGACGCCGACGGAAGACGACGACGAAGACGACGACGACGACGATGACGACGCCGACGCCGACGCAAGACGCCGACGTAAGACGACGACGAAGACGACGACGCCGACGCCGACGCAAGACGCCGATGGAATACGACGACGAAGACGACGACGACGCCGACGCCGACGCAAGACGCAAGACGTCGACGGAAGACGACGACGACGCCGACGACGATGACGACGACGACGACGAACCACCCCACACCGACACCCACACGGGGAGAGGGGGGCCACCGGCAACCTCCACCACGCCACGCCCACAGGTCCACGAGGTGGGGGGCTCGATCCCATACGAATGGGGGGGGGCAATTCTGGATCATAGGTGCCCTCTGCGCCGGGACTCGCGGCATACATCCCCATGTCGCGCGTAGGCTGGTGGCCCCAAGGGACCCCGGCCCGCGGGGGGCAAGGGCAGGCCAGACGATGCTGAGCTCCAGCAGCAGCGGCTGGGTGCGGTAGCGGATGCTGTGCAGCAGCGACCCAAAGCGCAGCGTGCAGTCGACGCGCACCTTGGCGATGATGAGGCACAGCTCGTGGCAGCGAGGCTCCGCGACGAAACGCGTCATGTCGATGCGATGCTCCCGGATGGCCTCCACGACCTCGCTCACGACGCCCGGCTTGTCGCCCACCAGCATCAGGAAGCAAAGCTCCGTCGCCTCCTCCGCCGCCACTGGAGCCTCCGCGAGAGCCGAGGCCTCGGCGTACTCGTAGCCCGCGTCACCGAGGGGCACCGCCAGCTGGGCCGCCAGGATCTGCCCGCTGGCCAGCTCCACCGGCAGGGCCCCGCGGCCGACCGCGGCGAGCACCCTGGCGCCGAGGTCCGCCAGGAGGCGCGGGTCGATGCCCTGGAGGAGCAGCTCCTCGCGCATCGCCCGCTCCCCCTCCTGCACGGCCTCCTCGTCGCTCAGCATCTCCGTCCGCGCGGTGACGAGCGCGGCGCGCGCCCGCGAGGTCCGCAGGTACCGCATGTGCACCCCGCCCCACTCCCGGGGGGGCACGGCGCCGTCCTCCCGCAGCTGCACCAGCACCGTCTGCCCCTCGCACAGCTTCGCGTGCAGCGGGGCGGCGGCGCCGTCGATCAGCACCGCGCTGGCCCTCAGGCCCTTCTGGGCCTCCAGGTTCCACACCGCGAAGTCCAGCGCCGTGGCGTCCCGCGGCAGGTACACCACGCGGCCCGTGGGCGTGAACACCGTCACCTGGGGGGACCAACAGGTACTCAGATACCGCTGCTCCCTGGACCCCTCCCGGGGCGCCTTCTGACCAGGACTTCGAGGCGAATCCGGCCGTGGCGACGAGGGCCTCCCGGGAGGAGGCCCCCAAGAGGGGAAAGCGAGGGAAGGGCAGCGGCATCGATCGGCATCGGCACCATTTCCTCCTCCGATCGCCTTCTCGCGCAGCGCCTCGCTGTACGCGCGGTGCACCGAGCCCAGGGAGCGGCTCCCCGCCCCCGCGCGGCACCTGCCGCCGCAGGGCGCCCGGCCCCCCGCGCAGCCGCAGGCGGCCTGGGCCACGCGCTCCAGCAGCGGCCCGAGGTCCTTTGAGCAGGGACCGACCGTCCCGGCATTCCTATAAGCCTCCCAGGGCGTGCTCTTAGAGCCCCAGAAAGGCTCGAAGAAGAAAGCCACGGTTCTCAGAGTACACACACGCACACCAGATGTGCTAGAACGAGGCAGTGTCGGCCAGACATGTTCTAAGAAAATGTCGTTGGGCAAGCGCGTTCCAATACCCGCAAAAGTCAACTACTCGCAGATTGCCTGGATCTGCCGCGGGGGATCTGCGACACACAGAGGACTGGCCATCGCTCGGACGTCTATTCCCTGTGTTTTTGTTCGGTTTCGTGCGTGGCTTTCTCGCCAAATGATCAAGGATGCTCCTCGATGGTCCTCGCCGAAGCAAAAATGCACACGTCCGAGCGATGCTAAGAGGGAGAGCCGCATATTTCGGAGGCTTGCGAAGAGGCACTTCGCGAGCAGGGGAGCGCGCTCGACGTGGCGTGCAGACCACAAGCGGCTCCTGGAACATCCCTCGGTGTGCCCCTGGGCGAGCCAGGAGGCTTCGCCCCTGCTCGAGTCCTCGGCCAGGTCCTCCCGCAGGTCCTCGCGCTCCAGGCTCACCGCCCGCTCCTCCGGCGCCGGGCGCGCCCGCTCCTGAGGCGAGGGGCAGTCCCACGGTTGTGGATGCCACGACAATTGGCACCCTAACAGTCCTATCATTGAATTTAAACTTCGTTTAAAATGTCGGACACATATTCCAAACATGTTGTAAACATGTTTTCCACACGTTTAAAACATGTTTAACACATGTTCTAGGCATCTGGAAACTATTTGACAGCATGCTTCCTGTGCGTTGATCGTCCTCCACAAGGGTAGTCCCACCGGAACAAACAATGACATACGTAAGCAGAAAAGCTCGGAGGTCCGCGCGGATTTATCGGATCGGCGCTTGGCCCCCCTCCCTGGCGCGCGGAGCACGCCAGGGGCGGCGCCGCAGGCGCCGCCAGGGGGGGCCAGCGCGGATGCGAGGAATCCGCGCGGACATCCGAGCTTCTATGCTCATGTCAATTTTCTTCGTTCCCCTAGGACTACCCCTGTACACCGTAGAACTGTACACTGCACACCAACAACGAACAGCTTTGCAAAGGTGCATCTGTCACGGAATACCTCTCGGAGGTGGTGAACAAATGGGCTCGGGGCTCGAGCGCACAGCAGCGGCGGCGACTCCTGAGGCGAGGGGTAGTCCACCGAGCGCAGGCTCTGCTCGAGCGAGTCGCTGGCCTCCTGGAGCCACGTGGACCGCAGCGCCTCCCGGAGCCCGCGGCCGAGGCTGCTCCTCGCGAGGTCCTCCCCGTGGCGCCAGCACGCCGCGACCCCGAACTCCGCGACCCACTCCATCTCGGGGCTCCGGATGTAGACCTCGGCGGCACGCAACAGAGGCCCCAGGGCAAGAGTTAGGGGAACGAAGCATGACATGGTTCAGCCTCAAGACCCGGAGGTCCGCGCGGATTCCTCGCATCCGCGCTGGGGCCCCCCGGCGGCGCCCCCTGCGCCGCCCCTGGCGTGCTCCGCGCGCCAGGGAGGGGGTCCAGCGCGGATCCGAGAAATCCGCGCGGACCTCCGAGTGGTTATGTTTACAGTCGGGACGTTGACCTAAGGAACCCTAAATAAGGAACGAGGCCCCTTTTTTCCATAAGTTAGACTTCGATTTCCTATTGAAAACATCAGGGAAACCTGAGGCAAGCTGTGAAACACTTAGGGAACGCGGAGCCCCTCCCCAACCGAAAGGGTTCCTTCTTCAGGGCCCCGGCTGTATGCCAGTCTTCGTTCCCCCAACAGAGGCCCCAGGGCAAGAGTGGCCACAGGTGCGCAGCCTGTCGATCGTCCGTCGCATGCGATGCGGCCAAGCTGCCTGCGTGCTTGGGCTCGCCCCGCCCCCGCCCTCGCCCCGAAAAGGTCACTCCGGGAAAAAGCTCTCTCTTGCGTGAAGCCGGCGACCTCCACTGGGGTCCCGTCCATCAGCACCGTCGTGTGCAGGCTCATGTACATGTTCTCCTTCCGGCTACACGCAGGAGCGACCTTGGGCCAGAGTGACCTGTGGTACGCGGCGTACAAGGCAGCTGGGCGGCCAAATCTGGGCGCGCAAGCCGCTGCTACCGTTTCGCGTTGGGCGATAGGGACAGCCCATTGGGACCACACCGAAGTCGGGCGTTGGCGGGACTGGGTCACGGCACCCCTGGTTTAGCGAGTCTGGTCAATTTCGGGGCTTCGGGGCCCAATCACTACCGGCTTCCCTTGCCCAGAGTCCTGGCTATATCCGACAGATCTCACTCTGGCGAAAGGTCGTTCTTACGTGTAGCCGATCCTTGGGCGAGGAGATGTAATCGCGCAGCCGCCCCGGCATCGGGGGCAGCAGCCTGTGGATCTGTCCGAGGCACGACCAGCAAGTCTCGCGGTCCCTTGCGATCACCCGCATCCGCGGGACGGGCGCCTGCGGGGACAGCAAGCGACCACAACCGCATCGAGAACACACCCTGGCGGATGTCTTGCGCATGCCAAGAGCCGTCGGAACAAAGACACCAGCATAGTACTCGTTGTGGTCGATGTGGCGTCCCAGGACCCAGGACGGCCAAATCGACAACAACAACAACTCAAGTGCTTGATAGATTAACCGCACGGCTTATTTTGACAAAACATTCAAAACAATGAACAAGCCGAAAGAGTAGAAATCGACAAAACGTAAACGAAACAACGTTTTTCCCCACATCCTAAGTGGGTTCTTGTTTTCTCTGGACACCCCGCGCAGTCCTACCTCACCCCCTCTCCTCTTCTGCCCTCGCACGTTCACTCGCTCAATCACTCACGCACCGTCATTATCATAACATTTTCGGCTTCTTTTGCCTTCGCACACTCACTCACTTACTCAATCACTCGCACCATCATCATAATCATCATCATCATCATCATCACCACCATCACCAACAACATCCTCATCACCATCACCCACACACTCTATTACGCAATCAATCACCCTATTGCGCAATCAATCACTCACACTCAATCATCCACCCCATCACCATCAATCATACACTCACCGCGCACGATCGCACTATCATGCCCTCAACCACTCAAACATCATCATTACCACTGGCCTCGCCAGTCATCATCATCATCATCATCATCATCATCATCAGCATCATCATCAGCATCACTCACATCATCATGATCATCACTCACCTGTGTGTCGTCTCGGGCGGGAGCCTCGTCTGTGAGTGAATTGCGAGGAAGTCTCAGGCGGGAGACCCCTCCGTATGGAGCCCGCGCTTCATGTTCAAATCCGAAGCAGGTCATCGGCCTCCTGTATCTGTCGTCACTTCTGGGTTCCTGAAGCCTCAATATGCAGGAACTATCAAGCGGGAGCCTCGTCTGTGAGTGATTCGCGAGGAAGTCTCAAGCGGGAACCACCTCTATGGGACCCGCACTTCATGTTCGAATCCGAAGCAGGTCATCGGCCTCCTGTAACCGTCATCACTTTTGGGTTCCTGGGGCCTGAATGCGGATCAAATATAAGGCGGGAGCCTCGTCTGTGAGTGACTTGCGAGGAAGTATCAAGCGGGATGCCTTCCCGATGGGGCCCGCACTTCATGTTCGAATCTGGCGCGGGTCATCGGCTTCCTGTAACCGTCGTCACTTTTGGGCCCGTGACGCTTGAATATGGACGAAGCAGAAGGCGGGAGCCTCGTCTGTGAGTGAATCGCGAGGAAGTCTCAGGCGGGAGGAACTCTCTGGCGGGAGCCCCCTACGGGCCCGCACTTCATGTTCGAATCCGAAGCAGGTCGTCGGCCTCCTGTAACTGTCGTCACTTTTGGGCTCTTGACGCCGCAACATGGAGGAACTATCAGGCGGGAGCCTCGTCTGTGAGTGAATCGCGAGGAAGTCTCAAGCGGGAACCCCCTCTCTATGGGGCCCGCACTTCACGTTCGAGTCAGATGCGGGTCATCGGCCTCCTGTAACGGTCTTCACTTTCGGGCTCCTGAGGCCTCAATATGGAGGGAGTATGAAGCGGGAGCCTCGTCTGTGAGTGAATTGCAAGGAAGTCTAAGGCGGGAGCCCCCTCCCTATGGGGCCCGCACTTCATGTTCGAATCCGAGGCGGGTCATCTGCCTCTTGTAATCGTCGTCACTTTGGGGCTTCTGAGGCCTGACTAGGGAGGAAGAAGAAGGCGGGAGCCTCGTCTGTGAGTGACTTGCGAGGACGTCTCAGGCGGGAGCCCCCACCCTATGGGGCCCTCACCTCAGGTGCTTTCTCTGCGTCGTCCTCCAGCGCGTAACCACTGGGACGCACGTCGTGCGTTTCCTCTAGGTCGTGTTCCGCACGAGAAGGAGGAGGAGGAGGAGGAGGAGGAGGAGGAGGAGGAGGAGGTGTAGGAGGATGAGAAGGATGCAGGACGAGAAAGAGAAGGAGGAAGAGGAGGAGGAGGAGGAGGAGGCAGAGGGGAACAGGACGATGAGGAGGAGGAGGAGGAGGAATGCCCTAGGAGGCCCCAGGAGGTCCTGGGAGGCCCAGAAGGTTCCAGGAGGCCCCAAGAGGCCCCAGGAGGCCTCAGGAGGAGACAGGAGGTCTAAGGAGGAAGCAGGATGATGATGATGATGATGATGATGATGAGGAGGAGGAGGAGGAGGAGGAGGGGGAGGAAGATGGAGACGGGGAGGAAGAGGCGGAGGAGGGAGAGGGAGAGGAGGAGGAGGAGGGAAAGGGAGAGGAGGAGGAGGAGGAGGGAGAGGGAGAGGAGGGAGAGGGAGAGGGAAAAGGAGGATGAGGAAAAGGAGGTGGTGGTGGAGGAGGCAAGAGGAGGAGGAGGAGGCAGGAGATGAGGCAGGAGGAGGAGCAGGCAGGAGGAGAAGGAGGCAGGAGTAGGTGGGAGCAGGGAGGGGGAAGGAGGATATCCCCAGGCACGTTAAACATATTCGTGTGTGGGGTCCTACCGTCGGAGTAATTTGTCTGATCACATAGACATAAATTTGCGACGCAAAGGCACTGGATTCTTAACAAGCGTGTAAAGCCGTGATACGGAAACAACAACTTCGCGTTCCTATCCACTCTGCTTTAGTTTCAACACGCGCGCATATATGGTTTCGAACACGCTCCTTTCTACGTCATTATGCGTGTTCGACTGATCATTGCGTGAAGGTTTATAATGTATGCCTTCACGTAACGCGACTCTGGCTCGAATATCAAAACTTGCACTGGTTTACGCGGTTTCGCCAGTCACAGAAGCCAGGGAAACTCGAGACACACTCCGGAACTGCGAAACTCAAATCAAATAATTCACACAAAACTCCCGAAGGCACAGCGGGCCGCGAGAGAGGCCAGGGGAGGCCCACCTGCCCGTTCGGGAGGCCACGACCCACGACAGAGGCCCGTCCTGAGGGGTTCGACCCTGCGCCCGCCGTCGTCGTGCAACCGCCGCGCAAAATTTGCCAACGCCCGGCGGCCCTGACGGGTTGAACGGTGCCCGCCAGCAAAAATCGGCAACGAAATCTTGGAGGAGGAGGAGGAGGAGGAGGAGGAGGCGGTCACCCCAGTCCCGCAGCGACTGCCAGGACGGATCTTATATATCGAGGTCGGTGGCTTCTCCCCCGAGGCGCCATCCCCCAAACGTCCACGTAGTTTCAAGTCGGGCATGTCCTCCTGCAGGCGGACTTGCGAAGAAAAACGAACAACTGTCAAGAAGTACTCAAAGATGGTCAAACGTAGTAGGAACATTGCCCCCCGACTATTTTTTGCTAATTTCTGGGCATTCCTCCTTGAGAGGGACATGCCCAGCTTGCACTCGGTTGCCGGTGGTGTGTTCTCGGTTGTGCCCGGGGCGCTGGCGGCGCGCTGCTGGAGTGCGTGGCCCACCGCCGCAGCTGCGTGTGCAGGGGCTCCTCGTCCATCTCCACCTGGCGGGCTCCGAACACCTGGAACTCACAAACCTTGCCTTGAGTCGGGCCTGCCCCCCTACAGGGGGATTTTGGACGATTTTTCTTTATTACCCAACTAATGCCCAAAAGATGCCCCAAAATACTAAAAAAATAGTCCCCAGACTGTTGTTTGACTATTTTTGAATATTCCAACTGTAGAGGGACAGGCCCGACTTAAACCTTGCCATCTCTCGGCGGCGAGCCCGGGGGGGAAGCGACAAGGGGCGGCACTCTCAAAAGGCCCGGAAGTCCCCCAGCCTTCTCTAAGGGGTTCTCGAAGCCTTCCCCGGAGACACCGAAAACTTCTCAGAAGGCGCGAGAGCTTCTGAGAAGTCCCGCCGCCTTCTCAGAAGGCGCTCTCCTTCTCACTTCTTCCCCTCGCTCGCCGCCGAATCTCTCGGGGGCTCATGTTTTACTTCCGCCGGCCTTCCGCCGCCTTCCGCCGAGGGAGAAATGGCAACTCCTTTGATCCTCGATGGCAAGGCCCCCTCTGGAACGCCTCGCCTTCTGGATGGCACCCTCCTCCATCTTGTCCATGATCAGGGTGCTGAAGTACTGCCTGATGTAGCGGAGGCCTCGCCCGCGCGCCTCGGCGGTCTGCTCGTTGTGCCGGACGGCGAGGTCATACGCGTATCCGTTCAGGTACCGGCAGCAGAGCTCCTCGAACTCCCTCTTCCAGATGTGAATGCCCAGCCTTTTGGGGGGTCTCAACGCCACTCAGGAGCCTGCCTCCTGACCTGCGGACGAGGCCCCGGACCCAGGCCGGGGCACAGAACGAGGAGATCTGAGGGCAGCAGGCGGCAGCTTCTATGCCCCACCAGGCATCGCTCGGACGTCCATTTCCCGTGCATTTTTCGGTTTCGTGCGTGTTTTTGTTCGCTCGATAGTCCAGGATGGTCCTCGATGATTCTCGCCGAGGAAAAATGCACGCGTCCGAGCGATGCCAGGCCCAGGCCCCCAGCCTCTCTGCCAGTGGGACATACACGGCGCGAGTCTCCTCGGAGATCCGCCGCTGCTTTGCGGCTGGCATGTGCTCGAGCGTGGACACGTGTTGCCGCGCCGTTTGCCCTCGGCGCGCCCGCGCGGACGACGTTGCCCTCCTCCTCCTCCTCCTCCTCCTCCTCCTCCTCCTCCTCCTCCTCCTCCTCCCCCGCGCCCAGGGAGAAGCCGCCGGCGCCGCGGCAAACCCACGGCAGGCCCCGCGTGTCCGAGTCGGCGGCTGCCCTGGTGGCCGCGGCGCCCTCCCGAGGCGTGAGGCCGCGCGTCGGAGCAGACGGCGCGGCGGCATGTTGTGCAGCCGGTCTGCGAACTTGACGAGCAGGACGCGGACGTCGTGCGCACCGAAGGTGAGCACCTTCTTCAGGTCCTCGGCCGAGCGCAGGGCGGGGGACTTGGTGTCTGGCGACGTCTTCGTGACGCCGTCCACGAACGTGGCCACAAACGTCCCGTACAGGTCCTGATCGGAGACGGCCAGGGGGTCTGGTAAGACGAGGCCAGGACGAGGATAAAATCGGGTGAGGATGAATCGAGAATCTCTGAGCTCCCGAGCGCTCTGAGAGCGTTCCGGAACGCCCTGGAACGGATGTATCCTCGTCCTAAATCTGCCCGATTTGAACTGAAGAGACCCCCTAAAAATCAGTCAAGAGGGTGGGTGGGCCCCATTCTGCTCAGAATCTGTCCCGGACCCCTCCCGCGGTCCACCTGGTTAAATTTTTCACCCCGAATCCGTTTTCGACGGTCCCGGGGCCCGAAAACAGCCAATGAAAGCCGAGAGAATCAAAAAACGACTTTCCCGAACCCAGCACCTCGAACCTCGCCCCCCCTCCCTGCTCGCCAGAACCAGCGCTAGGCCACCTCAGACCCCCAACCGGCTCCAAGGTCCTGGATGTCACCGATGGTCATGGACGTGTCCTTAGAAGAGGCCCCCTAGATGGGGTCCGAGTAGATGAAGTCTAAGGATGGCGCCGCATCGCCGATGCATCGCCAATGTATCGCCGATGCATCGGCGATGCATCTTCGGCGTCGGTGTGGGTAAACACGGGCTCCGCATCGAGCCGCATCACCGATGCATCGGCGATGCGGCGCGATCCTCCGACCCCATCTACTCGGACCCCATCTAGGAGGCCTAGAGTCCTCCACCGTGTCGTGGAGCAGCGCCGCGATGTACATCGCGAACACGTCCTCTGGGCCGGCGGCGATGCGGTGCCACAGTGCACGGGCATCTAGCTCCTCGGGGAACCAAAAATACGAGTGAGCGCGATCCACCGTCGTTGGCCTGAGAACTTTCTCGAAGGGGGGGTCAGAAACCAGGGCCCCCCCCTCTTCAAAAAATCCCAAGTGCGGGTCAGAAACCAGGGATCCCCCCCCCAACCCCCATCCCCCAGGGAGAACCTAGGGGGTCCCGACCACCTCCCTGGGAAAATTAGTGTGGGGGGGTCCAGAACACCCCCCCCCCTCCGCCCTACCCTGACAACAACGACGACGACGATGAAGACGACGACGACGGCGAACAATGACAACGACGACGACGACAACGACGACGACGACGACGACGATGACGACGTCAGCGGCGGCGGCGGCGCACCTCTCGCCAGCGCCCGCGCCAGGCGTCGGCTGTGATATAATGCGACCAGGGCTCGATCCAGCTCTTTCAGTATCCCACCAGGGCTCTACTGTCCTCTATCCTACTCTACCCTACTCTACTCTGCTCTACGTTCCTTTACTCTATTGTACTCTGCTCTACTCTACTCTATCCTACTCTACTCCACTTGACTGTACCCTAGCATATCTACTCTACGTTGTTCCTACTATGCTCTACTCTACTCTACTCTACTCTACACCTCTCTTTTACTCTTGACTACTCGACTCAACTCAACTCTACTCTACTGTACTAATAATTTCCTTCTCCACTCTACTCCCCTCTCCTCTCCTCTGCTCCACGCTACTCTGCCCTTACGCTACCCCATCCCATTATACCCTGCTCTGCCCTGACATACGCTACTCTAGTATACTCCTCATTGCTCCTGCTCTCCTCTACTCCACTCCACTCCTGCTCCACTCCTGCTCTCGTCAGCTCTGCCCAGGCCACGCGTCACGAGTACATTGGCCCCATTCCGAACAAATCAGTCGTGCAAGGATTGTTGTTTGAAATACGTGTGAGTTCTTGAGGTCCTCGAGCTCGTCGACGCCCGAATACATGGCGATATACTGCAATTCAACAATTCACAAGTTTGCGCCCGAATGCTTGCATTCGTTAACTCGCGCTTCTGGCTGTCAGAGTGAGGGGCCCGAGCTGTCCTACACCTTAAGGCTCTTCGTCACGAATAAATAGCCCACTTGTGAATCAAACCAGCAACAAGTACTCATCTCAAAAATATGGAGCTCACCACCTGTGAAAGCGTCCCTGTAATTGGCTACCGAGTAAACTGCTACCCCATGCTTTTACACCATTCCAAAAATGAGTTCCCAAATTCTTGAATCCCTGATTTCGCTTTCACTCGGTATCGTCACGTCAGTGGGATAGATATGGGATTTGCACGCAACATCTGTGGGATTGCCAAGGCCCCCGTCGGCGACCACTCAGGTTGCCACATTGCCCCGTGGTTCCTCCTACTCTCGGCCCCGCTCTTCCTGCCCTACGAAAGGGAGAAAGAGATCAACACACAAGGCGGCTTGCAAGCTATATCATCATGCTTGGCATCCGCGTGCGACCGTCTTTCTTCTCCTCCTGCTCCTGACCCCCCGTCTCCTCCTCCACCGTCATACCTTGTCCTCCTCCTCCTCCTCCTTTCCGATCCTCCTCATCATCCTGATCTTCCTCGTCCTGTTTTTCTCATTTTAAGATTCCTCCTCATCCTGACCCTCGCAGCCCTGATCCTTGTCACCCTGATTCGCTTCTCCTCATCATATTGATTATCCTCATCCTGGTGCCCATCCTCCTACTGAACCTGATGATCCTCCTTCTGATTCTCCTCGTCATGATCATCCGGATCATCCTCATCCTTCTGGACCTCCGGATCCTCATCCTTATCTTGATCACCCCGCTGATCTGTCTCGCCACGATCCTCCTCATCCCGATTCTTCTCCTCCTGACCCTGATCTTCCTGATCCGCCCCGCCCTGATCCTAATCCTCCTCCTCCTCCTCCCCCCCTCCTCCTCCTGGTCCTGACCCTGCTGGTGCTCTTCCTCCTGATCCTCCCCGACCCGACCCTGATGCTCCCCATGCTCCCCATCCTCCCCCTCCTAGTCCTGGAACTGATCCTCCTGACCCTCCTTGTCCTGATCCGTCTCGTCCTCATCCTCCTCGGCCTACTCCGCATCATGCACCTGACCCTCGCCCTGACTGCCATGCGCTCAGGGCCCCGCGGCCGATTTCGGGGAGAGGCAGAGGGGCGGGGACTCGGGAGTGCAGTGGAGGGGAGTGGGAAGGTGGAGAGGGAAGGCGAGCGTAGGGTTAAGTCGGGCCTGTCCTCCTACAGGGGGATTTTGGACGAAAAATAAAACACATTCAACACATACCCCCAAATGGTCCAAACAATGCACAACAAAAAAAGCATCGGCCCCAGACTAGTGTTGCGACTCTTAGTGAATCTTCCTCCTGTGGAGGGACGTGCCCGACGTGAGCGCAGGGAACAGCTGGAGGGGAGGGGGAGGGGGAGGAGCGAGGCGGCAGGGGAGGAGCGAGGAGGCAAGGAGGGGGGGAGGAGCGAGGAGGGGAGGAGGGGAGGAGCGAGGCGGCAGGGGGAGGGGGAGGGGAGGGGGAGGGGGAGGGGAGGGGGAGGAGCGAGGCGGCAGGGGCGGAGCGGGGGCCGAGGGCGGCGCGGGGGGAGGCGGCGGGGAGGGGCGGCGGGCACTCGGAGGCCCAGGCTCTCCGCTCGGGGGCCCCCCTTTTGGGCTAGGCTCAGGTCGGGCCTGCCCCCCTGCAGACCGATTTTCGAGCAGCAACGAAACATACACTCAACAAATGCCCGCACTCGGAGGCCCAGACTCTCCACTCGGGGGCCCCCCTTGTGGGTCAGGCTCAGGTCGGGCCTGCCCCCCTGCAGACCGATTTTCGAGCAACCACGAAACATACACTCAAGAAATGCCCCCAACATGGTCATACATATTCAACAAAGGTCGTGCCCCGACGATCTTTATCTCGGGATCTTCCCCCTGTAGAGGGACACGCCCGACTTCAGGTTAGGGCCATCTTGGGCTCCCCAGGACAGCGTTGGAGGGCACCGCATCGCCCCCGACCGACCTCGCCCCTCGGTCCGACCTGCCGCCGTTTCTTCCCTCGCGGCTACCCTCGCCCGCCCCCTGTCCGACCTCCATGTTCCTGCCATTTGTTCCTCTGATTTTGAAGCGGCTCAGAAACAATCCATGTGGATTCTCGGAATCCATGTTGGGTCGGGCCTGTCCCTCTGCAGGGGGAGTGTTCAAGAGGAGTCAAGGACTAGAGGAGGAGGAGGAGGAGGAGGAGGAGGAGGAGTCAAGAACGAGGAGGAGGAGGAGGAGGAGGAGGAGGAGGAGGAGGAGGAGGAGGAGGAGGAGGAGGAGACCCCCACCCCCCCGCCTCGACCTCCTGCCCACCCCCCGGGCCTCCGGATCGGGGTCACCTGCAGACCTCCCGGGGCTGTCTTGAGGCACGAGGTGAACCCCAAGGGGCCCCAAGAGTGGAGCATCTGGGCATCCTCCCCGAGTGCCCGCAACCCCTCCCAACCGCCTCCCTTCCGCTACCCTCGCCTCCCCTGCCTCCCCGCCCTTCCCTACGCCCACCTCCCCTCTCCAACGTTCGTCTCCCCTCGATTGCGCTGCCCATATCCCCTCCCCTTCACCTCTCCTCCCCCTCTCCCCACATCGGCGACGGAATCTTGAGCGCCTGGCAATAATAATGAGGATCAAACGGGGAATGCGTATCCAGAATAAAAGGATCAGGATGAGGATTAGGAATATGAGGATGAGGGCGAGGAGGGTCAGGGCGAGGAGGGCCAGGAGGATCAGGACCAGGACGAGGAGGATCAGCATGATGAGCATGGGAAGGATCATGATCAAGAGCGGAAGGACTAGGAAGAATATCATCAGCGGGATCAGGACCGGGAGGATGGTGATGAGGAGGGTCAGGATGAGAGGATCATGAGGATGATGTGCTTCAGGAATGTCATGGTGAGGATGATCAGGGGGACGGTCGGGATAAGGAGGATCAGGATGAGGAGGATCAGGATACTGGGAAGAGGGAAGAGGAAGGATCAGGAGGAAAACGAAGATCGGGATGAGGATGACCAGGACGATGAGGATGATGATCATAATGATGGGGGGAGGAGGAGGAGGAGAAGGATCAGGATCAGGAGGAGGAGAAGGATCAGGATGAGGAGGCTCAGGATGAGAAGGATCAGGATGAAGACGTGGGAATCATGATAACAATAATCAGGATGAGGATCAGGAGGAGGAGGAGGAGGACCAAGATGAGGGGGGTCGGGGCGAATTATATCAGGATGAGGAGGATCAGGAAGAGGAGGACGAGGAGGACAGGGTAGGGCGGAGGAGGAAGACGGCCAGAAGGAGGAGGCGGAGGAGGAGGAGGAGGAGGACGGTCGCAAGCGGGCGCCAAACATGAGAATAGGTCCTACAAACCTCCTCGTGTGCCCCCCTCCTTCTCCCCTTCGCAGGGGAGGAACAACGGGGCGAAGGAGCAGGATAAACGACGGAACAACGTGGCAACCCAAACGGTCGCCGACGGGGGCTGGGCAATCCAACAGATGTTGTACTGCAAGTCCCATACATGTTTTCCCGACGAGACTACATCGAAATACCGGGAGTTCAAACATTCAAGAATTCGGGAACGAGTGCCTGAATTGTGTCAAGACGTGAGATCGACATGTATCTGGTAGCCACCTGAATGAACGATGTGACAATACTTGAGCTTGAACTTATTACATCCCCAAGCCGAACACGTTTTCCTCTTGGACTAAAAGATGAGAACACCGATGGATCAAAGTGGATCCTTTTTTTCGAGTGTGCGTCAACGTCGTGGATCCTATCTCTGTTTTGCGCGGATCAAACTTCCCGCGTGTGACAAACCAATGGATCCAATCATTTTCCGGGAATACATGTACAATGCAAATTAGCATCCCAGACCGCACAGCATGTGAAGCACAATGCTGTCCACGGAACAGTGGATCTGCTGACCAAAGCTACGATTCTACGGTGGAAGGGGGGTGCTCCTAGGACGGAGAGGGAACGGAGGAGGGAAGAGACGCGAAACCGAAGAGAGCGCAACATGTATCCGCTCACCTGCACGGCACGTCGCTTCCGACATGTGGGGCACAAGAGGAAAATCTTTCGGCCTTCGTAAGTATGATGAATATGTGCGACTGGTTTCATTCGTAAGTGGGCCATTCATCGCGACGGGAACCCTCAAGGTGTAGAGCCGTTCGGCCCCCTCACTCTGGCACCCAAATACTGCGAACTTGACAATTCAAAATTTCGAACGCGAATACTTGAATGCTAGATTACAGTGAATCGCCACTTATTTGGGCGACGAAGAAATCGAGGACCTCAAGAGCTGACTAGCAATTACTTCAGATTAATCGCTTGCGCGACTGGATTGCAGAATGGGGGCCATTTACTCGTGACGAGTGGCCTGGGTGCTCTACTCCATTTCTGCTCTACTCTATCCATCTGCTCTTCTCTACTCGACTTCACTCTACCTTAATATGGTCGTCACCTCCCTACTCTAATCTACTCTAATGTACCTACCGCACTGTACCACACCGTCTCAACTCTACCCTCTACTCTATTCCTATTATGCTCTACTCTACGCCTGCTCTACTCTGGACGTCGTCGTTTTCGTCGTCGGCGTCGTCGTCGGCGTCGGCTTCGGCGTTGGCGTCGTCGTCGTCGTCGTGGTCGTCGCGGTCGTCGGGCGTCGTGCGTCGTTCATCGTGCATAGCGTCGTGCGTCGTGCGTCGTGCGCTGTCGTCGTCATCGTCATCGTCGTCGTCGTTGCTGGGGGGGGGCTTCTGCACCCGTCGAATAATGTTCCTGGAGAGGGGGGGGATTTGGACCCCCCCACACGAATTTCCTGCCATGAATTGACCCGTGAGGGAGGTTTGAACCCCCCTGTCCCGCCAGCAGCGGCAGAAAGCGCTCTTTCGGAAATGCCGCCACGCACCTGCTCCCCAGAACCCGGCCCCTCCCAGGGTGCGATCTGCCCAAAACTTCGAGGCGAGTCCAGCCGTGGCGGCGAGGCCCCGCCGGGAGGCTGAGAAAAGGAAGCACACAGGGCAGGGGCAGCCCAGCCTTGGCTCCAGATCCGCCGTATTTTTTTTGTGGGGGGTGATTTTTCGTGCTTGGAGCTGCTGTCGGAGATGCACCCTAGAGGATCCGAATACATGGGAGGGAATTTCCGTATCAGAATTACATCAGAGAAAATACCCGCTCAGTGGATGTTCGAAATTTTCGCCGGTGCCTCAATCGGCCTTCCTCCCGCCCCCGCCCCCGCCTAATTCGAATATACGTTCTAGTCCGCTTTAGCTATTGGGCGTGTGCCTATATATCTCTGTATCGCTCCCTATCTCTCTCGATATATGTTTATGTATGTGTGTATGTGTGTATGTGTATGTATGCATGTCTGTATGTTTGTGTGTATGTATGTATGCATGTATGCATGCATGTATGTATGTATGTATGTCTGTCTGTCTGTCTGTCTGTATGTATGTATGTTGCATACATACCTACATACATAGATATACATATATATATGTATATATATATACACACAAGACTGCATTGGCGCTTCGCGCCATGCACCATCCCCAGGCGTCGCGGAAAATGGACTCCTTCCCTGCAGTGGTTTTCAATCTTCGAAAGTTCGGGTGGTTCCTGGCCTTTCCCAGGCTCCCAAGGGACCCCGAAAGGCGGCGGGTGGAGGGCGAAGGATAGGAAGGGGGGGACGTTCGGGGAGCGAGGGAAGGAAGCGGACGTTGGGGAGGACGAGTGGTGGAGTGGCAGAAAGATGAGGAGGAAAAGGAGGAAAATGAGGAGGAGGAATAGGAGGATGAGGAGAAAGAGGAGGAGGAGGAGGAGGAGGAGGAGGAGGAGGAGGGGAGAAGGCGGAGGAGGAAGAAGAAGCAGCGGACGAGGGCAGGACGAGGACGAGGAGGAGGAGGAGGAGGAGGAGGAGGAGGAGGGGAGGAGGACCCAGAGAGGAGCAGGGGGGGGGGGGGGAGGAGAAAGCGCCGTCCGGGGACGGCGAAGGACTTCGCGTGCGCCGCACCGAGGAGCGCTGCCCAGAAGCCGCCCAGCCCCGCGGGCGGCTTCTCCCCCCCGAAGCCGAAAGCCTGGCAGAGGGCGAGAGGCGGGGGCGGCGTCTCGGGGCCCAGGGCCCGGCGGCGCCTCACGCGCCGCCGGCGGCCGGGGCTCGGCCGTCCAGGCCGTCTATGGAGGCTCTCTTTTGGGACAGTCTGGTGGCCATCCAGGCCGTCCAGAGGCTCTCTTGGGAGTCTCTTGGGCCGTCCAGGCCGTCTAGAGGCTCTCTTGGGAGTCTCTTGGGCCGTCTTGGGCCATCCAGGCCGTCTTGGGAGTCTCTTGTGGCCATCCAGGCCGTCCAGAGGCTCTCTTGGGAGTCTCTTGGGCCGTCTTGGGGCGATGCCGGAGGCCTTCTTAAGGCTGTTTTGGGCGCTGCTGACAACGGAGCGTTGGATATGCTGAAAGTGCACGTTTCCCTGAGGGGGAAGGAAGCGACTTCTGCGCGTCCTGGGAGTCCTGTTGAGGGCCTCCTGCGCCGTCTTGGAGGCCTCAGGAGGCCATCTGGGTCCTTCTTGGAGCGCTCTTGTGCTGTCTTGGGTCTCTCTTCGGCCTCTCTGATCACCGCTCTGATCGCTCGGGGTCTGCTGGCACGACCCGGCTGAGTGCCCTGGGAGACCCGAGCCGAGCTCGGGGACCTTCGGCAACGGTGTCCAGGGGGCCCGGAAACCCCGGATCCTGGGGGTTCGGTCTTGGGGGGGGGGGGCGGACGGGTTTCCCCCCCCGCCCCCAGGACTTGCAAAAATATGGGGAAAGGAGTAGCTGTATCACTCCCTATACCTTCCTGATATATACATACATATACACGATACACGCAATGTCCCTTTCTCTCTCTCTCTCTCTCTCTCTCTCTACTCCGCCTCTCTCATTCTGCACTTATCATAATTGTTTGGGTTTCTCTCCTTCTCTCTCTATATCCCTCTATCAATATACAAAATCTATATCGGAGGTTGGGGATTGAGATCGCAGAGAAACGGAGACCCCCCCGCACCAGGATATCGGGTACGGATTCACGTTCGTGTCGCGCGTGGGGGCGAGGCGAAGCTGCGTGGGCGGGCGAGAGGAATGAACCCACCGTTGCCAAGGCGAAGCCGAACCAAACGTTGCTGTCCCCTGGGTTGGCCAGCAATGGACCTGTGGTGTCCCGATGGTGTCCCGATGGTGTCCCGTTGGTGTCCCGATGGTGTTCCGATGGTGTCCCGTGGTGTCCCGTGGTGTCCCGTGGCGCGGGGGTGTCCCGTGCTATGTTATGTGCTATGCTATGTTATGCTAGCGATGGTGAGATGGATAGTGCGATCGATAGTGGGATCCATTGAGTGAGATCGAAAAGTGAGATCGATCGTGATATCGACAGTGCGATCGATAGTGATGTTGGTAGTGAGGTCGATTGAGTGAACTCGATATTGAGATCGATAATGAGATCGATAGCAAGTTCGATATTCAGATCAATAGTGAGATCGAAAATGATATCGATTGAATGAGATCGATAGTGAAATCGATGTGCTCGAAAGTGAGATCGACAGTGCTATCGATAGGGGTATTAGCAGTGATAGCGATGGTGAGATCAATTGAGTGACATCGATCGTAAGATCGATAGTGACATCGACGATGACATCGATAGTGAGACCGATCGTGAGCGTGAGATCGACCGTGAGACCGTTCGTGAGATCGATCGACAGATCAATGGTGAGATCGATCGTGATATCAATGGTGTGATCGACAATATGATCGATAGTGATATTGATAGTGAGATCGAGAGTGAGATCGATAATGATATCAAATATCGATTGAATGAGATGGATGATGGGATCGATAGTGAAATCGACAGTGAGATCGACTGTGAACCCCGGGAACCCCGCCGCCCACCGAAGTCTGCCTGGAACCAGCAACAGGGAACCGGGGAACCCGGAACCATGAGCCCCGGAACCCAGCCGCCCACCGAAATCGGCCGGGAACTTCCGCCAAATCATTCAATCTCCGCTCGGACCCCTTCAGTGCAAGCACTGATTAGGGAAACATGCGAACAAATAGGGCGGAAATCTTCGTGCCAGAAAATGCGGATGTTCCCGCAAAACATGGAGCAGAAACGGCGAGGGCAAAGTGGGGCGTCGGCATCAGAAGAGCTCCACGGGTGGGACGGACATGTCGTGACATCTCCGCCCCGCCCGCGAGACCGCCCGCAGCACGTCGGATCCGGCGTCGGGAAAGGGCGGCGGCATCGGTGCCCTTTCCCCCTCGGAGCTCCAGCGCCTCTGCCGCCGACAGGCCCTCCCGCGCGGGGAACTTCACGTCCGTCGGCGGCAGCAGGAGCCGCGCCAGGAGGTCGGCGACGGACAGCGGGTGCGTCCAGTACGGGTCGCCCGACCTCCGGAGCTGGCCCTCGTGCGCCTCCTGCTGGAAGGAGAACACACGCGGAATCCGATCGGGAGGAGGAGGAGGAGGAGGAGGAGGCGGAGGAGGAGGAGGAGGAGGAGGAGGAGGAGGAGGAGGAGGAGGAGGCGCGGGGAAGGTCAAGGAAATAAACGCATAGGTATGGATTCGGGGGAGGCTCCCGCTCGAGCGGGGGCCTCCATCCGACAACACACACCCATAGCCCCCCACGGAATTTCACCGATTCCACCCCGACACATCCAGGGGTCGCGTAGGGGTGGGTGCCAATTGTCAGCTCATGATCCTTGGCCAGCCCGAGGGCGTGGTCGAGGATCGACACCTTCCGGAGGAACCAGAAAACTGCCTACCCGAATGTCCGGCGATATTCGGCGGCGAGCGCAGGGGGAAAAGTGAGAAGGGGCGGGTCTTCTCAGAAGGCTCGGAAGTCCCCCAGCCTTCTGAAAGTTTTCTAAGCCTTCCCCGAAGACGCAAGACACTTATCAGAAGGCGCCGCCTTCTGAGAAGGCCTTATCCTTCTCATTTCCCCCCCCCGCTCGCCGCCGAGATATGTTTGTTCCACTGGCATCTGTTCCTCACTTTCGGCACCTGGGGGCCAGCCAACCATCGGGGCCCAAAACCGTCAAGCATAAATGGATTCGGGAAGAAGCGCTGCCCCCCCGGGAAGGGGCCGGGACCTTTGGGGCCGCGCTCTGGAAAATCGTATCGTCGGACGTTTTGGGTAAGGATACTCCAAGTTTCGTCACCAAAGGGATGGGGTCACAATCCTCCCAGACGGGAAGTTCTAGACCCCCCCCAGACCAGCCACGAGCAGGCGGCATTTTGCCCAGATCCCCCAGGAACAATCCAAGACTGCTCAACTCAGACCACCAAATAAATCAGACCCCTCCTTTCTGTTATAAGATCCGAAATTGATTATCGGAGGTCCGCGTGGATTTTCTTGGGCAGGTGCAGGACCCAGGGGCGCTGTGGGAGCTCGCTCGCTGCTTGTGCCAGAGTTGCTCCTGAGGAGAAGGAGGGAGGAGGAGGAGGAGGAGGAGAGAGGGAGGGCAAAAACGAGGAAGGAGAGAGAAGGGAGGAGGGAGGGAGGGAGGAGGAAGGAGGGAGGGAGGGAGAGGAAGGAGGAGAGGGAGAGGAGGAGGAGGAGGAGGAGGAGGAGGAGAGGAGGAGGAGGAGGAGGGCGGCGGAGAGGAGAAGGAGGGGAGGAGGAAGAGGAGGAGGAGGAGGGCGGAGGAGGAGGAGGGAGGGAGGGAGGGAGGGAGGGAGGGAGGGAGGAGGGAGGAGGAGCGCAGGCCGCGAGCGACCTCCCTGGCGCGCGCAACGCCCCAGGGGGGCCCAGTGCCCACCCGAGAAGTCCGCGCGGCCCTTTTGCCTGCAGTCAGCGTGCCAACACATCGGGGAGGCAGAATAAAGCGCGAGCTTCCTCCTCTTCCTCCTCTTCTTCCTCCTCCTCCTCCTTCGCCCTCTGCCTCCTTCCTCCTCCTCCTCCTCCTCCTCCTCCTCCTCCTCTTCCTCCTCCTCCTCCTCCTCCTCCCCCTCCTCCTGCTCCTCCTCCCCCTGGTCTGCCCTCTGCATCCTCCTCCGCCTCCTCCTATCATCCTCCTCCTCCTCCTCCTCCTCCTCCTCCTCCTCCTCCTCCTCCTCCTCCTCCTCCTCCTCCTCCCCCTCCACCTCCTCCTCCTCGAACCGCCCAGGGCGCCCTGAAGGCGGAGGGGCTCTCCTGGCCGCGGCGAGCTTCGGCAGCGGACGGGTCCCCTGGCCTTGAGCTTCAGAGCGGCGCGAAGACCAGAGCCCGACTCTCGAGCCCGAAGTGGTCCTTACGTCAGCGTCCTGGCTGCGTGATCCGTGCTCTGCTCCTCGAGCCTTGTCGCGCACGCCCGGGCTGCCGCGGAAGATCCCCCAGCTCCAGGTCACGCTCGGAGCGGAGGCCGCCGGGAAGGAGGCGGCCGGGGCGTGGACGCCGTGCATCCACCATCGCTGCTGCCTCTGCTGCAGGGCCCGCTGGAAGTCCTCCAGCTTCCGCACCACGGCCTTCGGGGATGGACCAAAGCAGTGCTCTTCGCTTTCGTCTTGTTTGCATTCTCCCTCGTTTTGTCTTCGCTGCGCCTTCGCTGCAAAGCGAAGTCAGAACGAGAACGGCCCGCGAGATCGCCAACACACCGCTTGTACAGGCCTCCCAGGTGGGGTCCGAGTGGATGGGGTCGGATGATCCCGCCGCATCGGCGATGCATCGGCGATGCATCGGCGACATCGGGATGGAGAAAATGAGGCTCCACATCGAGCCGCAACGTCGACACATCGGCGATGCGGCGGGACCCTTCGACCCCATCTGCTCCGACCCCATCTGAGAGGCCCAGAGTTCGGGTCGATCTATGGCGTGCTGTCTGCGTGCGCACCGTCTGGTTTTAGCCCCCCGCCTCCTCCTCCTCCTCCTCCTCCTCCTCCTCCTCTCCTCCCCGCCTCCTCTTCCTCCTCCTCCGCCTCCGCCTCCTCCTCCTCCTCCGCCTCCGCCTCCGCCTCCTCCTCCTCCTCCTCCTCCTCCTCCTCCTCCTCCTCCTCCTACTCCTCTTTTGGTGCATATCAGCCGGACATGCTTTGCAGAGCTTGCTTTGGAACGCAGGCGCAATCGTCGTGTTTCACCCCGCTCGCGCGCCATCTGGCGCAAGGCTTCTGACCTGACCTGACCTTCTGGGCGTGCCGAGCGTCCCCGAGGCTCAGGCGCCCATCCTTCGTGCGGTCGCTGGGGGCACAGAGCTCCCGGATCTCGCCGTCGACGTAGTCTGGGGCAAAGGACTCGCCCCAGAGGTCCAGCTCCTCTCGGCGGCGACAGCCCAGGGTGCTCTCGTTGGAAGAGGAGGAGGAGGAGGAGGAGGAGGAGGAGGAGGAGGAGGAGGAGGAGGAGGTGGAGGGGGAGGAGGAGGAGGAGGAGGAGGAGGAGGAGGAGGAGGAGGAGGAGGAGGAGGCAGAGGGCAGGGGGAGGAGGAGGAGGAGGAGGAGGAGGAGGAGGATTTTTTTTTTGGGGTCGACCCATGATCAGCCACATGACTCCGCTGGCGTGGCGAGTGCCAGCGAGAAAAAGAGACAGGAGCGCAGCGGTGAAGGCACATCACTGCGCAGCAGCACGGCTCGGGCTGTCCACTATACAAGGACAGCAGACTGGGCGGCGAGGAAGAGCTATACAACCTGCAGCCGCCACCCGAGCAGAGTGCAACACGGGAGCCCTCCGAAGGGGTCGTGATGCAGAGACCCAGAAAGCAACTACGAGCAGAGTAGGCGACGGCGCCACACTCTACGGCAGCAGCAAACGGATCCAGGAGCAGCAGACAGGAGGACCGATCGATCCACCCCGCACTCCAGGAAAGACACGGACCCACTGTACAGGGTCAGTCGCAGGAAACAAGGTACAGGCAACAAGCGAGCCGCGGCAGCTGCTTGCAGCCAACTAATTGGCAGGGAAGATTTAACGTGTTACAGTCAGCCCGTGGCCGACTAGCCTTGCCAGCCGTGCTGGCGAAAGTTCCTGACCAAATTTTTCAAAAGCGCCCAGCGCAACATGGGGAGGAGGAAAGACGAGGACAGCGAACGACGCGAAGGAGGCCAAGACAACCCGCTGCACTTAAGGGGCCCTTAAGTGCAGCGGATCTGCTCCTTCCGTGCGCGGGGCTGGGGAGCAACGGTGCGAGGGTCACTAACGGCGCAACGCCGGGCAGTCCCCACTCGCACCGCGCCCCCCGCCAGCACTTCCGCCCACAAGTCAGGTGCCTCGGGCTCGGGCGCCTGCTGCGGCATCGCAGGCACCCCGAGCGTCCTCGCAAACGAAGTGCCTAAGACTGCCCGCTGTGCCGCAGTCACCACCAGGAGCCTTCACCCCGTGGCCGCGCAGCAGCGAGCAAGGGCCGTGCAACAGCAGTGGAATGAAAGTGAACCGCATCACACACCCTGAGCAAAGGCACAATTAAACCTGACAAAACGTATTGACATCCACCCGCACTCCTGGTTTATTGTATGACGGGTGGAGGCCCTTTTGGAGACGACTCCAAGGATTGCAATGCGAGGCCCGTTTCGAAGGCTCACACTTCTTACCTAGGCGATCAAGCCGACCCCCCGACGTGTAATAACCACATTTGTGGCAAATGCAAACGAAACTACCATCCGTACAGTCTATGAGCACACATCTATGCCCAAGATCACGAAGTACTGACGGGTGCACATGCAAAGCGAGCGAGCAAGACCCACCAGGAGGTTCGACGCCAAACGTGCCACGACGACCACGCAAGCACGTAGCACATTGCCAATACGAGCCAACCCAATGCCATTCGTGTGAAGGTTTCGCAGGAGCCTGCTCTTTAGCAGGCGGCTTGATTCGCTCTAAATCTTTGCCCAAGTCTAATCTAGGCCACAAAGACATTAATCTAGCACCCAAACGTCCTACAGCTCGGGCCACGGCCACGGAAAGATCCAGGCCCTCACGCAGCTCGTCCGACGGGGCAGGATGCAAGGATGCCGCAACCTTGGCCGAGGTATCAGCCCACGCATTGCCTTGTCTTAAATAGCGATCCCTTTCGTCGACCGCTTCATCGACAGCAAGATGGGCTTTCACTTTGGATACCGTGACTTTGTGCATGTGCGGACGAGCAAACTGAGCAACGCCAGCAAACATATACCTGGCTGATATCTGCTCCATCCAGGGCATCCTGAAAAAATTCACAACATTTAAACAGTCCGAAAAAATGTCACTCTGGCCTGTGCTCCACTGAATGGCGATAGACATGGCAAAAAACTCGGCTGCTTGTGGAGTCTGGGGGCATGGCCCCCAAACTGGTCCTCTGACTCTCACTAATTCAAGCCCAGTCTCCCTGTCAACCAAAGTGAAGGCCCAACCAGCTCGGTTCAATTCTTTCACAATGTAACGCGAACACGATCCATCCACGAACATGTCTCCAGCGAACACACTATGAAGGTCCCCAATCTCTCCTTGGGCCCACTCCACCTGAATACCACCATTATCCAACGGAGCAGGAAAAATATCACCCGGGTGAGGAAACACCCCAAAGACAGCCAAGTTGCCGTCCACCTGGCTCGCCCACTTCTGGATCTTTATGGGCACAATCGAGTTCCTTAGTTCGACTACATCAGGACACTGGCATTCCCACAATCTATGGCGGAGCGTGTCAGGCGCCTCGCCACACAGCGGGCGCAGCACGTTCTGCAGCTGGTAGCCTAAGTCCGCCGCACGCGTACGAGTGTACACCGCGTTGCAAAAAAGCGCCCTCAGACAGCCTTTTTCAAAGGCAGAATACTTCGTGCTCTGGAGATAACTAAGGACCCCATCAGTGCAAACACGCCCAGACATGTTCAGACGAGCTCCCATGTCCCACTCGAGACCTCTCATAACAGCTTTGTGAAGCAAATTCTTAATCAAAGTAGGCGAGAACTCCGTCAATTTAACCTCATCACCCTTGTCAGTTCTAAAAACAGCGAAGGAAGGCACGGACCAGGAAATCCGCTCACATGATTTTCTCAACGCCGTGATCGGCCCAGAAACCGACCGCCACAAAGGGGAGTCCCCCGAGAAACCAACGTCCCACGCCTCCCTGAGTTCTGGGAGCGAGAGACAGTGGGGGTAGGTCCGATGGTGAGCAATCCATATTTCCTTCGACCATCTGACCATCGGAGCGACCGACGCATACCAACGCGGCTCGCCATGCGAAAGAAGAAGAGCCGTCAGCGATCTTCCAGACGCTGATGGTTGCAAGACTGACGCCGCCTGGCGCCTCAATCTCAACAGCTCGTAGTCGCTCACACCATATATTTCGGATCCGAAAAGCTCCGAGGCCAAAGCTCCCGAGGCAAAAACGTTTTTGGTCACACGGGCCCCAACCAGAGGCCTCAAGCGGGCCAAACGGGAAACAAAACCCCGAGCTTTTTGTTCACGCTTCTTTTGCTTCGAGCTCCTACCAGCAACACGTCTAGGGCGTCCCACACAATCATCCACTCCCAGGTTCGCCGCTGAACTGACTAAGGGGCCAGCCAGGCCACCTAGGGCCTGAGCGAGATCACGCCCAAGCGCCTTAGAAGAAGCGATCAAGGATCTCTTTCCCACATCTTGACTCACCTTAGCTCCGATCCCCTCCTCCAGAATAGAAACCAAGGCTCTGACCACCGGCGGCAGATGCTCCACAATGTATCGCCGCGACCCCGTAGCACTGAGGCCAGAGTCGTCGATATACAACTTAAAATGCACCTGTGGCGGAATGCACAGCGTGTCAAGGGAAGCAATCGAGTACACTCTGATCAACGTGGTGGCAAACGTACACCCCGCGATGATGCCCCCCGAGGCCCAGAAGGGCCCATCCACAAACCCGTTCAACACAAAAAACCGAGCCTGAAGATACATCGCAATCGCGAGCCGAGCGATCGCGAGGGGGAAATTCACCTGCTTGCAACGCCACAGGAGCAACTTGAGATCAATTGTCTCGTAATATTTGAAAAGATCGAGCAGGACCGTGGCAGCTTCATCTTTACACAAGGTCGAGGTCTCCGCACGGACCGCCTGTCTCCACACCACGTCCTGGGCCCCCTCGAAGGGCCCAGCCGCGAAAAAACTCCGAGCGTTTTTGAACTCCCACTCCTGGGCCAGGGGCCTCCGCACCTTACCGTAAGCACGGTAAATCGCACAAAAATTCCCAATCGGGCGAAAACCAGAAGCTGGTTTCGGGATCAACGTAAGGAGAGTGATGGCCACCTGTCTCGGTATCAGCGCCGTGAGCTCCATCACGGCAAACAGACCACACAGAATGCTGAGCAGCTCATCACTCATGAAAGAGAAATGCCGCATGTGAAATCCGTCGACGCTGACAGAAGTGTTGATTTTGAAACGCCTGGAAAACTCACGTATCGCCTCCACAGGAACCTCAGGAAGTTCAGGGGCAAGCTCACCAACATGGAACCAGGGACCCCCACCAGCATCCCCCCAGAGGTCGGAAAAACGTTTGGACTCAGCTTGGAGCAACGACAAGGGGTCCGCCACCACCACTCCGTCCAAAGACAGGGTGGTGGTGGGGACCCATGGCGTCGCTCCTTTGGAAACGGTGTGGACCCTTCGGGCTCCCCGATTCGCCTTAAACAGTAACCACTCCTTGAACTCTTTCCTGGCAAGCTTCCTAGAAGCAGCCTCAATATTCACAAGCATGTCACGGCACATCTCATGCAAGTGATGGAAAAAGTCAAGCATTGGGCCGTCTGCTGGCTCGTACATCGGGAGCTCGCGGACAAACTCCTCCAGCGAAGACCTAAAATTCTCCATCTGGCCTAGATCAGCGGCGCACTGAGCTGGTGGCTGCTCCAGGCGCTCGAGCACCCGTCCGATGCCAGACTGGTCTCCCACGGTCCAGTAGCACTCGAACTCTCTAAAGAGATTGGTCAGCCACCTAGCAGCAAACAGTGTGCCATCGCCTTTGCCAGAGTCCTTGGACAGCACTGGGCGCCAGCACATTTGGGGAGGCTTACCACGAGAACCCCAAACAGGAAGGACCTTACCCGTGGCCGCGGAGACCTCACGCTCGGCAGCATTCGCCCAGTGTTTATAGACCAAGTCAACCGAGTCCTGAACTCGTTCGAAATCCCCCACCGTCGCCGCTCTACGAGACGAGTCCAGCACATCATGCAGCCACGTCGGAGGCTCACAAGCGGCGACGAGGAACACAGGCGGGAGAGGCGACGTGGGCAGCGGAGGGGGTTTCCGAAAAGACAAAGCCTGCAACCGCCCGAACTGCGGATGCATGCTAATCCTGACTGGGACATGCGTACAGAGGTTGGTGTCACGGATGGCCTGCACACTGCTGACCGTCTTGGCCAAGTCAGAGGAGGCAATAAAGAAATCGTACTGCTTAAGACCCGCAACAGATTTCATCGTGTGACCCTCAGGCACCAGGAACTGGATGCTTTTCTGGTCCCCCAGGCCCCCAGCGCTGGCCAGGCCCCCACCCTGAGACATTACAGGTTTCAACTGAGGGCGAAAAAGATTCAACAGGAAAAGCATTGGCCTCCATGGGCCTGATCAACTGCACATCGGACCTGGGAGGAACACCAGGCAAAAGCGGGCCCCTAAGGGTCATGGGTTTCGACGGCCGAGCAGAAACACCATTCGCCAGCAGGGCCCCCTTGGCCCTGGCTAACGTATGCTGAACCGCCCGAACGAGAGGGCCACAGTGGGCCCACAAAAAATTAGTATTAGAGACCGCATGAAACTCAGAGGTGCCCTGGGAGATCCACTCAGGGCTGGCCAACACACAGGCTGCAGTGGGGGAGGTACCCCCTCCGTTGGAAGAAGACAAAAAATTCTGATCTCGCTGGCTCCCCCCCTCAGGCGCTGTCACCTTTGGGGGGGTCTGATTGTAAAATCTTGGCTGCACGCGCCTTGGCATCAGAACTCGCCGATGGCGCGCCCGTACCGCTTGATGGAGCCGCCGTGGGGGAAGTCGACTCTTGACCAGCCTCCGGAGCTTCACCACCAGGAGCCTGCGCAGTGGCTGAATGACCCACTTGCGGACCATCATCTTCATCTCCTGCAGCGGCACCTGGTGCAAGAACCTTCCGCTTCTTGCCAGCCAAGCGTGTCTTCTGCTCCTCCATCTCCTTACGAACGCGTTCAGCATGTGCCTGCGCAGCACCAAAGAGTTTCTTCGCCTGCTTTTGGATCTCGTCGTTGAGTGTCTTCTGCGCTCGAGTAGCGTTGCAGGAACAGTTCTTCAGAAGGGCCCGCGTTCCTGCGAGCCTTTTTTTTCGTTTCTGCGGGCGGAGTCCCGCGCTTCCTACCACGATACCCATCCAGTTGTGTGCGCGATGGCGGTACCTTCCCCAGCAGCGGCGAACTGGGGAGGGCCGATCCCGCCTTGGCAGCTGGAGGCGCAGCAGCAGCAGTATGCCCAGTCCTTCAACAAAGGCAAAGGATTCGGCAAAGGAGGCAAGACAGGTACTACGTTCGGTGGAAAGGGTGGCGCCCAGCACGGCGATGCACCCTCATCGAGATGGACTTGTCCGAGCTGCGGCTGCAAGAAGAACAAGCAGGCTTGGCAGCAGTGCAAACACTGCTGGGCTTGGCGTTCGTCACCAGCGTTCCAACAGCCCGCCGCTCCTCGCGGAGTGTGGGCACAGGGGCCGCCGCCCCCAGGGACATGGGCTGCTAATCCGATGCTGGCTCCCGGTGGTGCTGCTCCTCTTCATCCTGGCCCGCAAGTTCCAGGCGCAGGAGGAGCCCAGCTACCCCCCGACGAGAACACTCGGATTGCATCACTGGTACAGTTGTTGCGAGCCCAGGGTGACGAAGAATCAGCAAAGCGTTATCAACACAAGCTCGACGAGATGGCCGCAGCCAAGAAGGTTGAGCCCCCCTTGCAGCAGAAGGTCAACCAGGCGTACCACAGCATGCGGAGCTTGGAGGCCCGACTGTCCAAAGCGGTGGAGTCCTTCGAGCGCATCTCCAACGAGCTGGTCCAGGCCCGCGCCAATGTGGAGTCAATTACTTCGCAGTTGGAGGCCTCGGAGAAGCTACACAAGGAGCTGGTGGAGCAGTTGCACCAGTCGGTGGATGATCGGCCTCGGAACCCCGAGGGCTCTGTCAAGCAGGAGGTCAAGATCTCCATCTCTGACCTGCTTGGTGGACAACCGCTACCCATTGACATGTCCAGCCTTTTGGAGTGGGAAGCAGACTACGACCTCAACGAGGAGGACAGAAACGAGGCAGGAGGAGGAGGAGGAGGAGGAGGAGGAGGAGGAGGAGGAGGAGGGAGGTGGCAGGGGGCAGGCCTTCTCAGAAGGCGGCGGGGCTCAGAGGCCCTCACGCCTTCTGAGAAGTCTTTTTCGTCTCCAGGCAATGTTCCAGCCATCGCTCGAACGTCCATTCCACGTGCATTTATTCGATGTCATGCGTAATTTCTTGTTTGCGCAGGATGATCCAAGATCCTCCTCGATGGTCCTGGCCGGGAAAGAGGGCACACGCCCAGGCGGTGCAAGTTTGGGGAGAAGGAGGAGGAGGAGAAAGACAGAGGGGACGATGTGGACAGATCCAAAGACCTCGCGCGCCGTCAAAGGTAGCACTCGCGCCTTTTGAGGAGTCTGCAGCGTCTTCGGAGACGGCTTGCGGTCGGGAACCTTTGCTTAGCGTGTCGCGGCGGCGGCCCTGGCGACACGCCGTGCCTTGCGAGTGGATCGCGTGCCGCTCCTCTCCGCGGGGCGGAAGGTCGAGAAAGCCTCGGGAAGCTGACGCCTCGGGACCTCGGAAGCGGACGGTCGCGCCGAAGCGCGGTGGGCGCCAGAACCAGCGGAGCGACGCGCCATCCCAAAGTTCCCACCCGTCAGCTTTCGGAGGCCGGCGCGGACCTCTGCGACCTCCCGCGCCAACAAGCCCCGCTCACAGGCGCGCGGAGAGCGCGCGCCGGAAAGCGGAGTCCCGGAGGCACCGCCAGCGGGTTCCGGCGCCGATCCAGGAGCGCACCTCCGAAGGTCTAAGCGCCCTCCAGGGGGTCTAAGCGCCCTCCAGGAGCGCACCTCCAGGAGCGCGCCTCCTGAGGGAAGGCGCGAGGGCTTCTGAGAAGCCCTCCGAGGAGGCCTGCCCCCCCTCTCGCCTCGCCCCCCGCAGGCGCCGCCGCTCCTCCGCGGGGAAGGCCACCCGCCGCAGGTCCCCGGCCACGATCGCGCCGGTGGAGGCGTCCGCGAGGGCCGCGAAGAGGTCCTCCGTGGCGAGCTCGAAGGCCTTGTAGAAGTTGTGCGCGGCCGAGCCCAGGCGCTCCTGGGGGAGCAGGAGGGAGGTGTGGTGAGGGCGCTTTCGTATCCCTGCCCGCGAACCACACGTCTCCAGATGTCGGCGTGCCCCGGGGCGCCGGTGCGCGCGGGCAGTCTTCGGCCGGAGACAAATAGAATGGGGCTGCAGATTCCCGCGCCCACACACCTATGCGTCGATATGACGATGGCTCTACGGCGCAATTGAATCTCCCGTTGAAAGGAGGACGAGAAGAGGGAGGAGGAGGAGGAGGAGGAGGAGGAGGAGGAGGAGGAGGAGGAGGAGGAGAAGGATGAGGAGAAAAAGGAAGAGAAGCGAGCTGGCTGCGCCACGCCACCGTGCACAGCCCACATGTTAACTGCCATGGCGCGGGCCCGTAGATGAAACCGTGGCTTGGGACAGCGTGCAGCGACGTTTTGCTATATTCTAAGAAGTCTTAACGCCCGAGTGTACAGAGCCGGCACAGACGGACATACTAAACAAGGGACAAGAAGGGGAAATAAAAAGGTATCAATGCAGACGTGCAAATAATAGAAAAAAACAACTCCCCGATTCCCATCGCCCCAGAGACAGAACTGGAGGGGACTCCGAGAGGAAGGCACTGGATAAAGAGCCCCTGAACAAGCAGTCCAGGGTCTTGAAAAGCCGGTGGAACACCCACTGAGGCTTCATCATGGGTATCACCGCCGCCTTCGTCAGATGAGGAATCCTACCGGCGGGTCTGGGGCCTCCCGGGCAGCAGCTCCTGGTGGATAGCTGCCCACCAAAAAACACCCCAGCCCAACCCGAAGGCCCCCAACTGCCCTCCATTCCTAGGAGGGGGTATCCTCCGCCTCCTCCTCCTGATCCTCCTCCTCCTCCTGATCCCTCCTCCTCCTCTCTGCTCCTCCTCCTCCTCCTCCTCCTCCTCCTCCTCCCCCTCCTCCTCCTGATCCTCTTCCTCCTCCTCCTCCTCCTCCTCCTCCTCCTCCTCCTCCTCCTGATCCTCCTCCTCCTCCTCCTCCTCATCCTCCTCCTCCTCCTCGTCCTCCCCTCCCCCTCCCCCTCACCCTCCCCCTCTTCCTCCCCCTCCCCCTGCCCCTTCCCCTGGACCCGGAATTTCTGGCTTCGGGTTGGGTCGGGGCGCCCGGGGAGCAGGGCTCGCCCTCGCTCGGACGCTCATTCCCCGTGCACTAGTCGGTTTCGCGTGCGTGTGTGTGTGTGTGTGTGTGTGTGTGTGTGTGTGTGTGTGTGTGTGTGTGTGTGTGTGTGTGTGTGTGTGTGTGTGTGTGTGTGTGTGTGTGTGTGTGTGTGTGTGTGTGTGTGTGTGTGTGGGGGGGGGGGGGGGGGGGGGGTGGTGCGCTGTGCGCGTGTGCGCGTGTGTGCGTGTGTGTGCGTGTGTGCGGTGTGTGCGTGTGTGCGTGTTGTGCGTGCGTGTGCGTGTGTGCGCGTGTGTGCGCGTGTGCGTGTGCGCGTGCGCGTGCGCGTGCGCGTGCGCGTGTGCGTCGTGCGCGTGAGCGTGCGCGTGCGCGTGCGCGTGTGCGTGTGCGTGTGCGTGTGCGTGTGCGTGTTGCGTGTGCGTTGTGCGTGTGCGTGTGTGTTGTGCGTGTGCGTGTGCGTGTGCGTGTGCGTGTGTGTGTGTGTGTGTGTGCTTGTGTGTGTGTGCGTGTGCGTGTGCGTGTGCGTGTGGGTGTGTGTGTGTGTGTGTGTGGGTGTGGGTGTGGGTGTGCGTGTGCGTGTGCGTGTGCGTGTGCGTGTGCGTGTGCGTGTGCGTGTGCGTGTGCGTGGGTGTGCGTGTGCGTGGGTGTGGATGTGCGTGTGCGTGTGCGTGTGCGTGTGCGTGTGCGTGTGCGTGTGCGTGTGCGTGTGCGTGGGTGTGGGTGCGTGTGCGTGTGCGTGTGTGGATCTGGGTGCGCGTGCGTGTGTGTGTGTGTGTGTGTGTGTCTTTGTCGGCGCTGAGCGAGGGGAACATGAGAAGGAGAAGGCCTTCTCAGAAGGCGGCGGGCGGGACTTCTCAGAAGCCCTCGCGCCTTCTGAGAATTTGTGGCTTCTGTATTCGGGGAAGGCTCAGAAAACTTCTCAGAAGGCTCGGGGACTTCTGGGCCTTCTGAGAAGGCCCGCCCCTTCTCACTTCCCCCCCTCGCTCGCCGCCGACGTTCGCAAGATGAACCCACATGCTCCTCGATGGCCCTCGACGAGAGAAAACGGACACGTCCGAGCGATGCCAAGAGGAGGAGCGGGAGAAGGAGGAGGAGGAGGAGGAGGAGGAGGAGGAAGAGGAGGAGGGGGGCAGGAGGAGGAGGAGGAGGAGGAGGAGGAGGAAGAGGAGGAGGACGAGGAGGAGGAGGAAGAGGAGGAGGAGGAAGAGGAGGAGGAGCGAGCTGGCTGCGTCAAGCCACCGGGCACAGCCCACGTGCTCCTCGATGGCCCTCGCCGAGCGAGAAAATGCACACGCCCGAGCGACGCCGAGAGGAGGGAGCTGCGGAAGCGGCCGCCCCGCACCCCGGCGAGGCGTCGGGGGCCGCCGGCGCGCGGCCCGGGCGAGGCGCAGGGGCGCACGCGCGCACTCCCTGTCTTTGGAAGCCCCTGTGCTGCGCTTCCCTCCTCCTCCTCCGCCTCCGCCCTCTGCCTCCTTCTCCTCCTCCGCCTCCTCCTCCTCCTCTCTCCTCCTCCTCCTCCTCCTCCTCCTCCTCCTCCTCCTCCTCCTCCTCCCTCCTCCTCCTCCTCCTCCTCCTCCTCCTCCTCCTCCTCCTCCTCTCTCCTCCTCCTCCTACTCCTCCTCTCCTCCTCCCGCCCTCTGCCTTCTCCTCCTCCTCCGTCCTCTGCCTCCTTCTCCTCCTCCGCCTCCTCCTCTTCCTCCTCCCCTCCTCTCCTCCTCCTCCTCCTCCTCCTTCCTCCTCCTCCGCCCTCTGCCTCCTCCTCCTCCTCCTCTTCCTCCTTCTTCATTTTACGTTCGACCAACGTCAGGAACGAGCCTGTCGCGTTCTTACCTCCTCCTCTCCTCCTCCTCCTCCTCCTCCTCCTCCTCCTCCTCCTCCTCCTCCTCCTCCTCCTCCCCCATTTTTGCGTTGATCAGACATGGACAACGGAGCTTGTGGCATCGGGCAAAAAAAGTGCGAGGCCTCAAGGAATAAGACAACGCCGACGCAGGCCAGGGCAAACACTTTGAGGCAGCCGCCAGTGCGGATGTGGAAGTGTCCTCCTCCTCCTTTTTTTGCGTTGATCAGACATGAAGAACGGAACTGGTTGCATCGGAAAAAAAACAGTACGAGGCCTCGAGGAATAAAACAGCGCCGAGTCAGGCCAGGGCGAACAAATTGAGGCAGCCACCAGTGCGGATGTGGAAGTGTCCTCCCCCTCCTCCTCCTCCTCCTCCTCCTCCTCCTCCTCCTCACCACCACCACCACCACCACGACCACCACCACCATCATCATCATCATCATCATCATCATCATCATCATCATCATCATCATCATCATCCTCATCATCCTCATCATCCTCATCATCCTCATCATCCTCATCATCATCATCATCATCAGCATCAGCATCATCATCATCATCCTCATCCTCATCCTCATCCTCCTCCTCCTCCTCATCCTCATCATCATCATCATCATCATCATCGTCATCAACGTCACCATCGTCCTCATCATCATCCTCATCCTCAACCTCATCATCATCATCATCATCAGCATCATCATCATCATCATCATCATCATTTTCATCATTATCATAATCATCATCATCATCATCATCATCATCGTCAACGTCACCATCATCATCAGCATCAGCAGCAGCATCAGCATCAGCATCATCAGCATCATCATCCGAATCAGCATCAGCATCAGCATCAGCATCAGATCAGCATCATCCTCATCATCATCAGTATCCTCACTATCATAATCATCATCATGATGGTGATGGTCATCGTCATCAGAAGCATCATCACAATCACTGTCATCATCATCATCATCATCATCATCATCATCATCATCATCATCATCATCATCATCATCATCATCGTCATCAGCAGCATCATTATCATCATCATCATCATCATCATGTTCCTCCTCCTCCTCTTCCTCCTTCTCATCCTCCTGTTGCCATGCCTAACACGTTAGCTGTGTCACCCAATTCTCTACGTTTCACCTTATTGCCAACGCACCTCGGACGTGCACGGCTTCCGTTTGTCTTTCTCTCTACGGTCTACTCTGCTGACATCTCCCGAGGTGCGTTCTGACCAGGGCTTCGAGGCGCGTCTAGCCGTGGCGACGGCGCAATCCTCCCCCCTCAGGCCCCGAGGAGGCCTTAGAGAGGCAAAAGCGAGGGAAGAAGCACCGGGATCGTTACCTTCTCATCCTTTTGACTCCTTCTGCTTCATGGAAGCGGAGAAGATGTGGACCTCGAGCTTGCACGGCATCGTGGTGTCGCTCCGGGCCCTGCGCAGCGCTGGACTGGAGGCCTTCGGCAGGAGCGCCAGCACGTTCGTGCCCAGGGTGATGTGCAGCGCCCTGCAGGGAGGAGGAGGAGGAAGAGGAGGAGGAGGAAGAGAAAGAGGAGGAGGAGGACGACGACGACGATGAGGAGGAGGAGGAGGAACGACGGGGAGGAGGAAGAAGGACCCAAGCATTCACCGTCTCAACAAAAAATAATACATTTTTATCTGAATGCCCAGCCCCTTTCAGGGACCTGGGACCGTCTGAGAGGACTCAGGATGCAAAGCCAGCTCCACCTACGGCCCCAGTGGCGCAGCCCGCATGTGGGCGACACCGCGTTTTCGGCACACCACTCACACGTTCCGTGGCTCCACAGGGAGCTCCACCTAAGTCACCAGCGACACAGCCCGCATGAGGGCGTTGCCCCATAGGGAGTTCCACCTCAGAGGATACTCACAATTGCGGAACTCACAAAGTGCATATGATTGGGTTCTTCGCCAGGCGAATTTTCTCCAACCATCCTGCAGTGTTGGGTCCTCGATTTGAAGGAGACAGTCCCTGCGTCCCCTCCTCACCTGTTCTCCTCCGTCTCCTTCTCCTCCTCCTGCTCCTCCTCCTCCTCCCGCTCCTCCCTCCTCCCGTCACCCTCCTCACTTCTGCACACCCCTCACACGTTTCGTGGTCCCATAGGGAGCTCCACCGGAAGCCCCCATGGCTGCGTTCGTACGCCAGCACCCCCTCACTTTAGCACACTCCTCGCACGCTTCGTGGCCCCATAGGGGGCTCCACCTAAGGCTCCAGTGGCTGCGTTTGCATGCCGCCACCCCCTTACTTTGACACACCCTCACACATTTCGTGACCCCGTATGGGGCTCCATCTATGGCCCCAATGGCGCGGCCCGCATGTGGGCAACACCCCCGCTTCGGCACACCCCTCACACGTTTCGTGGCCCCACAGAAAGCTGCACCTAAGGCCCCAGTGGCGCAGCCCGCATGTGGGCGACACCCCCCTTCTGGCACACCCCTCACACGTTTCGTGGCCCCACAGAGAGCTCCACCTAAGGCCCCAGTGGGTGGCGCAGCCCGCATGTGGGCGACACCCCCGCTTCGGCACACCCCTCACACGTTTCGTGGCCCCACAGAGAGCTCCACCTAAGGCCCCAGTGGCGCAGCCCGCATGTGGGCGACACCCCCGCTTCGGCACACCCCTCACACGTTTCGTGGCCCCACAGAGAGCTCCACCTAAGGACCTGGTGGCGCAGCCTGCATTTAGGCGACAGCCCGTGTGTCGGCACACCCCTCACACGCATCGTGGCACCACAGGGAGCTCCACCCAAGGCCCCAATGGCGCAGCCCGCATGTGGGCGACACCCCCGCTTCGGCACACCCCTCACACGTTTCGTGCCCCCACTGAGAGCTCCACCTACGGTCCCAGTGGCGCAGCCCGCATGTGGGCGATTCTCAGCATGTGTCGCAGTGGCGCAGCCCGCATGTAGCGCAGAACGCATCATTGGATCACCGCACTCTCCGCAGTGTCTCGCTGCATTCGCCATCAACAAAAATTGCACAAATGGTATGAGGATGGCAGAATACAATACGTGGACTTGCCTTTCCTTTCCTTTTCCGTTCCTTTCCTGTCCTTTCCTTTCCTTTTCCTAACCATTATGTGGTGCTGGGTCCTCGTTTTAGAGCAGCAGTGCCCCGCGTCTCCTTTCCTTTCCTCCTCCCGCTCCTCCCTCCTCCCATCCCTGCCTTAGTCCTCCGCACGACCATTCCGTCGCACCAGTGACACGTTGCGCGGCCCCATCGGGTTCCACCGAAGGCCCCAGTGGCAAGGTTCGCATGCGGCTCCCCGCCAACCACAAGTCCATCTCGGCACACCCCTCACACGCGTCGTGGCCCTGTGGGGAGCTCCACCGAAGGCCCCAGTGGGTGGCGCAGCCCGCATGTGGGCGACACCCCCGCTTCGGCACACCCCTCACACGTTTTGTGGCCCCACAGAGAGCTCCACCTGAGGGCCTGGTGGCGCAGCCTGCATTTGGGCGACAGCCCGTGTGTCGGTTCACATGCGGCTCCCCGCCCACCGCATGTCCATCGCGGTACTCCCCTCACACGTCTCGTGGCCCCTTAGGGAAGGCCCCAGTGGCAGGGAGCACATGCGCCCCCGCGCCCACCGCATGCCCATCCCGACACACCCCTCACACGTTTTGTGGCCCCATAAGGAGCTCCACCGAAGGCCCAAATGGCAAGGTTCACATGCGGCTCCCCGCCCAGCGCACGCCCGTGACGCCACACCCCTCACACGCATCGTGGCCCCATAAGGAGCCCCACCAAAGGCCCCACTGGCAGGGTTCAAATGCGGCTCCACACCCACCGCATGTCCGTGACGCCACACCCCTCATACTTTTCGTGTCCCCATCAGGAGCTCCACCGCGCCCCCACGCCCACCGCATGTCCATTTCGGCACACTCCTCCTCCTCCTCCTCCTCCTCATCATCATTCGCGTCGCGGCCCCATAGGGAGCTCCACCGAAGGCCCCAGTGGCAAGGCTTACATGCGGCTCCCCGCCCACCGCATGTCCATTCCGGCTCTCCCCTCGCACGCTTCGTGGCCCTATTGGGAGCCCCACCGAAGGCCCAAATGGCAGGGTTCACGTGCGGCTCCCCGCCCACCGCATGTCCATTTCGGCACTCCCCTCACACGTCTCGTGGCCCTGTAGGGAGCTGCACCGAAGGCCCCAATGGCAAAGTTCACATACGGTTCCCCGCCCACAGCACGTCCATCCCGACACACCCCTCACACGCATCGTGGCCACATAAGGAGCTCCACCGACGGACCCATGGCTGAGTTCACATGCGGCTCCCCGCCCACCGCATGTCCATTTCTGCACTCCCCCCATACACGTCTCCTGGCCACATAGGGAGCTCCACCGAAGGCCCCAGTGACAAGGTTCACATGCGGCTCCCCGCCAACAGCATGCCCGTGACGCCACACCCCTCACACGCATCGTGGCCCCATAAGGAGCCCCACCAAAGACCCCGCTGGCAGGGTTCAAATGCGGCTCCCCACCCACCGCATGCCCGTGACGCCAAATCCATTCCAAGTTTCGTGGCCCCACACAGAGCTCCACCGAAGACCCCACTGGCAGGCTGCACACTCCAACAGGTCAGGAGGAAAAGGATAGGGATGGGGAAAAGAGATAGGATGGTCAGACGGGGATGAGGGCCGAAGAGGACAGGAGGCATGTGGAGGATTAAGGGGTGCGGGCAGGAAAAAGGGTTGGGGTGGGAAGGGCGAACATGATGGAGTGGGCGAAGGAGGTGGAGGTGGAGGAGAAGGAGGGAGGGAGGAAGGCGATATCGCTGGATGGGGAGCAACACAACAATCCGCGACTGGAAGCGGTGCCCGTGGAATTGCTGCGCCGCGGCGCACGACCTGGCAGTTTCGAGGCTGTCTTTGGCCACAGCCAGGGTTCGCAGCGAAGCGCTGCAGCCAGCGAGCCGGGCACGTTGGCGCCCTAACCAAGCTGGACGAGCCATGCTCACCTGCTCTTGACTTCTCCCCCTCATCATCTCCGTCCCCTATCCCCCACCTCCGCCGTCCTTCCCCCCCCCCTCACCTCCGTGAGATCGCCCTGACAGCGCGGCCCACAAGGGAAGATCGAGCGCCACAGGCCACACAGCACAGGAGCGTCCTGGGCATGCAACGGTGCAGCCCCAGAGTAGCAGGAAAAGGAGAACACCACTGGACCTGAGTAACTCCACCGATGTCGCGATAGGAACTCCCCGTCCCAAGTCCCCTCCGACACACATGCGCATCCACTACTGCGATCACCTGCTGGAAGACGCGGAAGGCCACACGGATCCGCATTGTGAGAGCCTTGCATTTCTGAAGTGGGCATCAAGGATCATTTCACTATCTGGCTGTATGTAGCGTCGCATGACGCCAACGCTTTCGTCCAACCTCCGACTGCCGTCGGCCGCTCCCTACGGGGTGGCCGTGACGCAGCGAGAGAAGCAACAAACAGATCCTGACCCAACAGCGGCGTGCTCAGAAGGGAGCACCTCGCCAACTAGCGGGAAGCCACGTGTGGAAGAAACTCTTGTGTGTCAGACTTTCCGGCAAGGGACGCGTCGGTGAACCCCTACGGGGGGCGGGGGAGAGCGGACTTCGCAGCCCCACTTGGATACGAAGGGGTCGGCTTTGCCTGGAGTTTCCGGAGGTCTCTGGAGGTCCCCAGAAGTCCCCAAACCCACGACGTCGTGATCTTTTGGCCTGGACCCCCAAAAGGTCTCGACCCCTCCCCAGGGCCAACGTTTCGTCCCGAGGTTTTTCGCCGGTGGTCCCAGAGCCTGCGGTAAGGGCCCCCAGAGGCCGACAGCACTTCCACAAGCCTTCCGTCGTGCCTCCTCTCTCGACGCGAGGGGCTCTGCGCCGTCGTCGGGCCCGGGACCAGCACCATCCGAGACCCTGGGCCCCGAATCGACCCTCGCAGGGGTGAAGCTCGCGTGCGGTCGACGAGGCCAGGCCAGCTGCATCGGTCGGCCCGCCCTGAGCACCAGCCCCGTCCCCAAAAACCACCTGGCCGGGAATGGCTAGCTCCCCGGCTGTAGTCACGGCAGGGGCACGGCATGCGCGCAGTGAGCGCTGCCTGGTGCAATAAAACTCTCAAATCACACAAGAGAGAGGCCGGGAGGGAGTGAGCGAGGGACAGAGAGAGAGAGAGAGAGAGCGAGCGAGAGCGAGCGGGGGAACTGGTGTCCAGGAGTGCGCAGAATCTCATGGCAACGTAGCTCCTGGCTCGCTCCCGGTGCACGTCGCTTTCTTCAATTGCGCAGTCCCGCTCTACTGCCCGAGACCTCGCACCCACGACAATCAGCCCAGTAGGCCTTCTAGTGCTCATCAGATCCGCCCGCGAGGCCACGCTTCTTCTTCAACATCACCTCAATGAGCATGACCTTCTCCAGAATGTAGTCGCGCCATGCTGGCAAGATCAGAATGCAAACTGCCATCCCTAAGCCAAGCTGGAACTCTGGCACTGGAAGGGACGCCGAGGTGGTCGAAGCCACATCCTCGACGCTGCCGTCGAAGGAATGCTCCCAAGAGAAGCCGACGAGGATGCCCAGTGAGTTGACGATGACCCGAGTGATCTCCTCGAGAAATAAAAGCATATCCCTATCACTGCGATAGTTGGTCCTCATTGCGTCCGCGACCTTGTCGACTCCGAAGACCGACACGGCCGCGAACGCGGTGAGAGTGAATGCCAGCAACACGCGCCCCAATATCTCGTGGCTGAAGAGCGAGCCCGACATGTCGCGGTGCTGGTCTAGCTCGCTGTACATCTTAGCAAGCCACTTAGTCGCCCAGATAAGGCACCAGGCGAAGCACATGCCTGTGGCGTTGAGCATAGCATCCAACACCCGGATCAGGAGGCGGTGGTTCTGAAGGGCGTGGTGAAACTTGGCCATGCACACGGCCTGCGCGACGGCGAAACCGACCATCAGAAAGCCCATGAAATAGAGCCACATGACCGGCGCGGCACCATGCTCGAGGTCCACGTGGGCCTCCCTCCCATGGCTGCACACCCTCTGCTCGGACTCCTCGGTCGGCAGGTAGCCCGTGATGAAGAACACCATGTTGTTCACGATGAGGAACGACATGGACAGACTGGACACGTCGTTCTCGCTCTCCTCGACCTCTTCCTTCATCAACTCTCGCATCTTCTCCAGCCCCGCCCTGTCGGCTGCGCTGCCGCTCTCCGCCTCGGTCGCCCTGAGCTGGTAGTCCCGCAGCACGTTCGAGACCATGAATGCCAGTCTGAGCACGACCTGGTTGACAATGACGGGTATCATCCCCATCAGCTTCGTAGTCAAGGACGCGTTGCACCCCTGGAGGTCCTCGGGTATCACCAGTGTCTGCAAGGCCTTCCCCGAATAGATTGCGGCGAAGCCCGCCAGGTGCGCAAAGAGCATACCCAGTGCCTTGGTTTGGCGCTTCCTCTGAAGCCAGGTGTGGAGCTTCTTCTGCACGGGAATCTCTTCGCCTTTCGACACCCATACACTGGATGTCTCTGTCGTTTCTTTGCCTCTGGCGCGCTTCACGGCACGGATGCACTGAATGTCGCCCTGAGCTACCGGCGAGTTGTTGTTGCTTCGCAGCGCATCGGTGTACACCCAAATCTGTTTGTGAATATTTTCTTCTATGCCGACGTTGAACCAGCAGCTGCGGCAGAGAACGCCTGATGCGATCCCAGTCCCGAAGTGAATACACGCAAGATATACGAAGCACTGTAAGAACTGAAACAGTGTCATTATCCAAGGGGCTGGCGTCACGAGTGGATGCACCACACGCTTCACAAGAAACTTGTTAAAGCCTTGGAACAGCATTACAGAACAGAATATAGAAATAGTTGTGCTGGTGATCTGCCAAGAGTACAATCTGATGTCGTCATCTGGCCAATTCGTCAGGTAGAACAGAACCATGACGAACGATATCATCCCCAAGAGCATGATCGACGTGTCCAGATCGCAGATGACCTCCGTCTCCTCCTCCAGCGCCTCGTCTCCCTCCTCGCCCTCGCCGGCGTGACCGTGGGCCGACGAGGCCTCGTCCCCGCCGCCCTCGCCGTGATCCTGCGCGGCCTCCTCGGCGCCCCCCTCGCCCCCCTCTGCCTCCGGCTCCCCCTCGTGCGCGGCGACGGCCCCGCGGCGTGCGACCGCGCCCCCCCCGGCCTCCGCCTCCCTCGCCCGGCGCGGAGCCCACGGCGCCCCCGCACCCCCGCGCACCTCCCGGACGTCCAGCGGGATGCTCCACTCCCCCGCGAGCCGCACGAGCTCGCTCAGGTCCCGCTCCGTGGCCTCGATGCCCTCCCGCAGCCTCCTGTTCTCCGCCTCCGCCGCGGCGGCGTCCGCCCCCGCGGGCGAGGCCGCGCCGTGCGCGCGCAGCGCGCACAGCGCGGCGAGGGCCCTCGCCGCGCGCATCTCCTGAAGGCACGAGGCTGCTCCTCACCGGCCGACGGCGCGGGCCGGCGGGGGGTGCCTCTGCGGGCACCCGGTGCCCCAACGGTGGCCCCCGCTGCTCCAGAGGGCGGGACGAAGAGTACTAGATGCACACACACGCATCGATCTTAGCTCAGGCATGTCCCCTACAGGAGGATTTGGAGGAACAGAAAAGAAATAGTCCAACCATACCCCCAAATCGAAAAAAATAGTCAAAACATCGTCCCCTGACTATTTTGAGACTATTTTTGAACATTCCTCCTGTAGGAGGACATGCCCGACTTAAATCGATCTTGGCCAGGCCCATCCTGAGCCCAGGATCTGTGCGTACGCCCTCCTGGCTTGGCCAGGGAGGCGTGTACACGATCCCTGGGACCAGGATGGCCCCGGCCAGGGTCGGTGCATGTGCAGAGCTCACGTCGCCCGAGAAGGGCGGGGTGGCGTGCGGGCGAGGCGCGACCACCATGCTCGTCGCTGCTGACTTTTCTCCCGGGGGACAACGCACATCTACGCAACACTGGAATACAAGGCAAATAGCATTAGCCCAGGGGCCAAAAGAAAGGATACAATAGGTTCGGCAACCAGTAGTGAGCCTCGGGGGGTGCATGAATGGAAGGGCGAGGGCAGACACTCTAACGATGGACAGTCTCTGGCAAGTGCCTCCGGAGCTTCCATCGCCAAGACTTGCGAGGGCAATTGAAACAAGCGCACCAGAAGGACGCAAGGGCCTTGGAAGGTCGCTTCCGAGCTTCCCGAGCGGAGCGAGGCCAACGAGACTGGCCCAGGAGAGACCGAGGACGCGAGGATGCAAGGGCACCCTTGGGAAGGCTGCTCATCCTTAGGTCACCGTGCGGGCTGACTGCAGTCCCGGTCAGAATCGGCACCCGCCTAGAAAGCTCCCGGCCCAGGGCCAACGGGGAGCGGACCCAGAGATCCAAGGTCGTGATTTTTTCAATACGGGGCCCCCGGAGGTCTCGACCCGTTCCCCGGGACCGGTTTTTCATCCTGAGTCGTTTTTTGACGCTCCCGAGGCCCGGTGAGGGCCCCCAGAGGCCGAAAATCAGGAAAAACCTCCCGTCATGATTTTTTCATTACTCAAGGGAGGGGGGTCGCCTCCGGGTGGCTCACCGACCCAGGCCGGCCGGAGAGGGGCTCACAGGGCACCGGCCGAGCCCCATGAGCGCTGACGTCCGAGCCGCGAGGCGCCACGAGGCGCGCCGCCCCCGCCCTATGCCAGGCCCCCCGCCCGGGGCGGGCCGAGAGGGGGGGGAGAGCAAAGGGGGGGGATTGAGGATCAGCTCTCGTATAGCTGATTGTCCCAGCGCCTCCCGGAGCCGGGAGGCGCCCATGCAGATCGAGGAATGGGCCCGGCGGCGGGGCAGAAACCGGCTGCACGCAGCAAATGTCGTACCCCCCCCTGTCCCAATCATCCCCCCCCTTTCGCTCGGGCCGACCAAGCTGCCCGGGCCGCCCTGCCCCCGGGTCGCCCCCGGGCCCACCGGGCTCGACCATGGAGGCGCTCGCCCGCTGGCGGCCCGCCGGCGCCCAGCCGCCGGGAAGCCCACCGGGGGAGCAGGCGGCCCGGCGACGACGGGCCGTAGTCGTCCCATGGGCGCCACTGCGCAACCCACCGCGCAACCGTGGCCGCCACTGCGAGAAAACACCGCAAAACCACCGCGCAACCAGCGGCCCACCGCGCATCCCGACGTACAGACCGCCGCGCAAGCCCACCGTGCGACCCATGTTGCGACCACCGCATAGCCCACCGTGGCACCCACCACACAATCCGCAACGCAACCCACTTGCGCGATCCACCGCGCAAGGCGCCGCACAAACCGCCGCACAAGCTTCCGTGCAACCACCGAGCTACCCGCAGCGCAATTCACCGAGTAACCCGCCGCGCACACATTGCGCAACCTGCAACCACCGCGCAACCACCGCGCAACCCACCGCGCAAATACCGCGCAATCCACAGCGCAACCCGCCGTGTCACAGCGCAACCACCGCGTACCCACACGGACGGGGTTCCACACGCTTTGGGTACTACACGCATGGAGACCTGTAAAACTCCGTAGGTTTCGACACGCACGGGGTCACAGAGGCACGCACGCAAACGCACACACGCGCTATTACACACGTACGCACATTGCTGGGGTCAACGGCGAAGGCGGACGTCATCGCGGCCGGCAAGCTGGCGGACAGCGCTGGGCAGAGGCACGCTGGACAAGTGGAAAAGAGGAGGGCGGCCACGAAGGGGAGAAGCGGAGGGGGGACCTCAGGCGTAGAGACCTTGCGCCACGGACTGCGCACAGGCAGCCTCAGGCACCGAAAACAGGTGTATCGAAGGTGAGCGACCAGTGGAAGCAACCGAAGAAAAGGGCGGCGCAGTTCCCACCAGAGAGGCAAGCCATCATCCATTGGGCGGAGAGCAAACTACATAGTAGACTGGGCCAGGGCCTTCGGCGGCCGTCGTCATGGGGATTTGGCACCACTGAGGCGAGGCAGTGCAGACCTCCAGTGCACAATCGCACGGACGGCGCCAGTCCAAGGACCAAGGCCTTGTAGAAGTACACCACGACGGGCGTCCCAGCGCCCAGAAGGCCGTCATGGCGGCTGCGGGAGGGGGAAGAAAAGGAGGGGCGGAGGCGAGGCGAGAGGGGAAGGGAAGGCGACCAGCCAGGTGCTCAGCAACACTGGAGTGGAGCAGGAACCGACCGTCCCGGCATGCCTGTAGGCCTGCCACGAAAGGTCTCTAGAACCAGAGAACGTTCCAATAGTGGAAACAACATTCTTAGAACATGAAGCCGGTTGAATAAAACAGTACTTGCTCAGTCAGATATGTTCAAAGAACACTTCGTACAAACGAGCCACAGGAGGCTCTTGGAACATCCTTTGGTGGGCCTGTAGGCAGGACGCATCGCCACTGCTTGAAAAACAAGGAGGCGCCCAAATGGCAAAGGCAAGGAGGGGAAGTCAGGATGGGTTCCCACATCCAGCTCAAGCGGGCGGGAAGGGCAGCAGGGCACCCAAGAGCGAAGAAGACGCGAAGGCCAGGATGGGTCCACACGACCGGCTCAGGCTGGCGGGACGAGCGGCGAGAGCACCAGAAGGACCCGGTCGGCGCAGACACACACACAGACACACACAGACACATACACACACACGCACACACGCACACTCGCACACACACGCACAAACACACACACACACACACGCACGCACGCACGCACGCATGCACGCGCACACGCACGCACGCACGCACGCACGCACGCACGCACGCACGCACGCACACACACACATGCACACGCACACGCACACACACACACACACGCACACACACACACACCCACACACGCACGCACGCACCCACGCACGCGCGCACGCACGCGCGCGCACACACGCGCGCGCATACACACAGCCTTGTTGGCCTCGCGGCCTCGCGCGCAGAGGCGAGGCGACGTAAGCCAAGTAGAGAGGGCGTAGACACACACACACACACACACGCACGCACACACACAGACACACGAACGCAGACACACTCAAACACAGACACACACACACACACTCACACTCATACTCTCACGCACACACACACGCATTCGCACACATTCACACGCAACCGCGCACATTCACACAGACACATACACACGCACGCATACGCACGCATGCACACGGACGCACGCACGCACGCACGCACGCACGCGCGCGCGCACGCACGCACGCACGCACGCACGCACGCACACACACACAGACACAGACACAGACACACACACACACACACACACACACACACACACACACCCACACGCACACGCACACGCACACGCACGCGCGCGCACACACACAGACACAGACACAGACACAGACACACACACACACACACGCAAACACACTTTTGTGGAGTTTCAGCCGCGCGCACAGCGAAGTGGCGGAGTCACGCGGAGAGATCCAACACATTCACACACAATCACACACACACACATGTACACACGGGGCTCCGCACCCAGGCTCCACACGCACACAGACACAGCTTGGGATTCCACACACCTGGACTTCGACACGCACGCAGACATGTGGGGTTCCACATGCAGGCGTTCACGCACATGGGGTTCCACGCGCCGGGGGAGGGGTCCACGCACATGGGGCTTCACACACGGGGGCTCCGACACACAGAGGAGCACACTTTAGACGCATCTGATTACACACAGCTGGGCGCCCAAACTGGGGGCACGATGGAACAGCTTGGGGCCCACGCGCTGGCCTCTGCCTGGCCACTCCCTGTCTCAGTGCCGCTTGGCCCCCTGCGTATTAAGAGAGGCGGGGCATCCGTAGCCGCAGCACGCGCGCCAGGGATCGCAGGCCACCCCACGGAGTCCGCCGACACCCGCTGTTGGGCGGTGCAACGGCGTGTGACATGAATGAAGGGGCCCAAGGACACACCAATAAATACACACAAATAAAAGGATCCCCCATAGTTTCCTATATGTTCTGGATGTTTGTCTTTCCGCCCAACTCCCATATTTTTCTATATTTTCATGGGGATCGACGATTAATTGTGCCTGTGTGTTTTTTCCCCTCCTGAATGAATGGCTGTTCCCCATCCCCCTTTCCCCCTCCCATGAAGTCTAACATCCCGTCAGGGGGGGGGGGGGGGCAGAGCTCGTCAACGCACCAACGGGGCCTCCGAAGCCTCCACATCTGAGTAGACTCCGTGGCTCCCAAGATGCACAAGATGCCACCTAAGCTGGCTCAAACTGGGCTCGAACACGCGGAGGAGCCTTCAAAAACACAAGAGATGGCATCAAGACGGCCCAAGAAGCTTCGAACGAAGACGCCCTCCTCCTCCTTCTCCTCCTCCTGACCAGGCCCTACAAAATCACCCACACGGCCAAAACCGCCGAAACCCATGTTCGTCATGAAAGAAGCCCCTGCCACGCCCTGGCAACTGGGGTCGGCGGAATGTCGCAAGCCTCGTGAAGATATCTAAGAATATGCACGCGGCGGGCGGCGAGGGGGGCCAGCGACTTCCGGCGCCGTGCGGGCAAGGCCAGGCCCAATCGGAGCAGGCCGCAGAACCAGCTCCGAGCCACGGCAGCTTCGGCAGAGGAGGAGCAGGATGAGGAGGACGAGGAGAGGGATGGGGTCAAGCAAGCTCCAAGACGAGGACCCCATCCGCGTCTGCGGCGCCTGCGCCCCGGGGACGGCAGGTCTCATGCGGCGCGGCTGGAACACACGGACTCACAGGAACTCTCCCGAAGGCCTGGTTCAAACTCGGATCCACGGCCCCGGGGTGCAGCACATCGCGCATCACACCCCAGGAGCAATCATGGTCGAACGCGCCTGGGCGGCAACTCCAGCCACGCTTCTGCCACCGCTCTCCTATCGCACAGTGGGCACCGAGGCATGCTTCTCCCCCTTCTCCTCCTCCCCCCCGTCGCCCACCCCCCTCCTCCCCCGCCCCCTCTCCGAGGTCGGAGCCTGCCGCAGCTGCTCCAGCCCCCTGGGACCTCCATCGCCCCCACTGGAGCCCTCGAGGGCCCCGGAGCATGCTCTGGCTCCGCAGGCACAGCCACCACGCCTCCGCGAGGCACGCCGAAGGAAGACAGGGGAGCCTTTCCGGCCACGCCGAGCCCCGGCCACGCACCGGCTCCCCGACCTCGGCCCGAGGAGCGGCCCGGACACCACAGCCCCATATCCTGAGCCCAGAGTGGCCCGCAGGTCGGCGCCATGACTGGAGCGCATGCTTACGATTCGCGACAGCGACCGATATCGGGGATGCCCCCCCCTCCCGCTCCCCCCTGGCAACCTCACGGTTCGCGCGGGCGCCGTTTGGAGATTCCTAGGGGTAGCAAGTTCCCAGGCGGCGCCGGCGCGAATCGTAGCGTTACCAGCTCCCTCGCCCCCCCCTCCTCCTTCCCCCCCCCCAGTAACGGCCAATGTCGCCAGGGGATAAAGGAACGGGCCCTTGTAATTACCGTCGTCCCTCCCCCTCCTCCTGCTCCTCCTCCTCCTCCCCCTTCTCCTCCTCCTCCGCCGCCATCCCCTTCCCTCGGGGCCGCGCTGGCCTGTAGCCGCTTCTCTTCGACCTCGTGATGTAGTCCTTGGTGGACTTCGGGAGGACCCACCAGCCGCTCGTCTCCTCGAGGCGCCCCCTCCCTCCTCCAAGGTGCGGCCGGGAGCTCCTGCTTCGCGAGCCGCCGCGGAGGCCCCGGCGACCCGCTGTGCCCTGCGAGCGGATAGCGTGTCGCTCCGCTCCGCGGGGGGGTCGGAAAGGCTCGGGACGTCGACGCCTCGGGGCCGCGAATATTCAGTCGGGGCGTTGCCCTAAGGAACCCCAAACAAGGAACGAGGCCCCTTTTTCCCAAAAGTTAAACTTCGATTTCCTATGGAAAACCTTAGGGGAACCTAAGGCAAACTGCACAACAATCAAGGAACACCGAGCCCCTCCCCAACGAACAGGGTTCCTTCTTCAGGGCCCCGACTGTAGATGGCGTGTGGCGCCAAAGCGCGGTGGTCCAGAATCAGCGGAGCGGCACGCTGCCCCAAAGTTCCCGACCGTACTGCGCCGATTGGCAGAGGCCCCTTCACTAAGACGCCCTTTACGGAAGCTCTTGGGGCACTCCACGGGCGCTCGCGGCATCGCATTCAAAGATGCACGGAATCACTCATCGACATCCAAAATCAACCGAATGTACCTTGCGAAACGCACGTCGACTAGCGAAAGCGGCTGGGGACTGCACCGGGACACATCCGTGTGACAATGTCGAGAGAAGCCGTGCAGACTGTTCAGTCGACTTTTCTGGGTGGGCGTTCTTTCCATGCCCGACCACATGGCAAGAAACCCAATGCTTCGAGGCACAGCGGTGGATGAGTTATCCAACTCCCCCGTAGTTTTCCGATGGCCGCTGCATCCCTACATCGCTGCTGCGAAAAAGTTGGCCCATTCCGTCTACCAATACAATGCCGAACGAAGTCTCCAATGGTGGGCAGGGACCATCGCGCTACTGAGCACCAGAGCCTGCGAACAGAAAGACGCCCCATTTCGACTTCGAATCCGTATAACATCGAATTGAGTTTGGGGGAAGTCGTTGGCGAAATTGCCATCTCGACTTTGAACCGAACGGGTTTCGACTTCTCTGTTGGAAACAATATTAGGCGAAATTGAAATGTCGACGCACGCCAACCCAGAAAATGTCGACTTCGGTCGGCATTGCGTCTTCTAGGAAATCTCAAGCGGAATCGCCGATTCGACTCGGACACCCCGCTTCGCATTTGAATCCTTGAATTCGGAAGCCCGAATACGCAAAAAAATGGTTGTAGCTTGGGAAGTCCTCAAAACAACGATTTCGGTTTGATGTCGAAACCCGTCGGCCCGAAGTCGGAATGGAGATCCCGCCCAAGACTTATTCGACGAAACAACTTCGGCCGATGTCGGAACTCCCCGGTCCGAGATCCAGATTTGCGCGGACGTGCCTTCGCTACACGAAGCAACGAGGCGCACCCTGGCAACACTGTGCTGAGGCACCTTCGCCACACGGGCCCCTTTCAAAATGTCCTCCGTTGCCAACGTTGTACTGGGGCCCCACCGCCGAACGGGAAGAGTTCAATTTCGGCCGAACTTTCATAGCGGCGAGGTAAAGATGGTCTCTGGTACCCTGTTAGGCATCTGGCGAGCTAGGTGATTCTCCTCGTCCTTGTCCTCTCGCTCTTCCTCCTCGTCCTCCTCCGTTTCGGCCTCCTCCTCCTCCTCCTCCTCCTCCTCCTCCTCCTCCTTTCCTTCTCCTTGTAAACCATTTCTCCCTGTCGCACCCCGAGGACAGTTTTTTTGGCGGGCCTGGTGTTTCGCCTGAGACTTCATCACCATGTATGACCCTGAAGCTTGAGCATGGACAACAGTTTCACACATGGAGGGCGGGTCTTTTTCAAAATGTGGCTCTCGCCTTAGCGCCGCGCACATTCGTTTTTTTGAATTTGCAAGAGCTTCACGGATTGAGGGCGACCAAATTTCAAATGTGGCTTTCGCCTTTGCGCCGCGTACATTCGCTTTGAACGCTTGCAAGAGTTTCACGGATTGAGGGCGGTTCCTTTTCAAAATGTGGCTCTCGCCTTAGCGCCGCGCGCATTCATTGTAACATTAGAAGGAGCTTCACGGATTCTCATGATCAGCGTACCAGACATGGTGTTTTGGAAGGACTCGAGATTACGCATGAGGGTGCAAAAGTTACGTTGAATCGCGGTGTTGAAATCCCAGGAATGGCGTTCTGGCAGGATTCAAGATCGCCAAAACGCAGCAGTCAGGTTGATCCGTGGCGTTGGAATCCCGAGAACAATGTTCTGGCATGCTTCAGGGTCTTCAACAAGTTGTCTTCCAACGAGGCAGTTCCCTCAGTGTAAATGACCCATTGTAGGTGCATGTGATGAGGGAGCTTGGAGGGAGGGTTTATTCTAATATCGTTGATGACTCTTGGATTTACACTGGTCCTCCTCCTCCTCCTCCTCTTTCTCCCTCCCGTCTCACTCCTCCTCGTCGGCTTCCTCGTCCTCGTCCTCCGCCTGATCCTTCTCGTCCTGCGTGTCCTCCTCCGTTGTTTTACCATGAGCCGCTCGGGCTCCGGAATTCAACAACGCCTGCACGCGGAAAAGCTGGCTGGCCCTAACGGGCTCGCTCGGCCACTCATGCTTAGCATCTGATGGAGGAGGCGGCACTGGACTCCTGGACACATTATCTAGAATCTCGCGCTCAGTGATACCAGCCAGTACCTCTCCCCTCAGAACTGGCTGTCCTCCTCAGTGTCCTCGTCCTCGTCCTCGTCGCCATCTTCTTCCTTGGCGTTCGTACCCTCCTTGTCCTGCTCGCTTTCCCGATCACCCTTGCTGCCCTCCTGCTCCGATGGCCATCCCAGTCCCAGCCAGCCACGAGGGTCCCGAAGGCTCCAAGGCGACCCCCAAACCCTTCAAGAGGCCAAAAGAGGACCTTGAGAGGACGTCCTCCTCCTTTTTCTCTTCAGGACGTCCTCCTTTTTTGCTTCTTCCGGGCACTGGCTGGCAGGTTGGCTCAGCTTGGCTGGCGCAGGCTTGCTCGGCCCATGAGAAGACGCTTCTCAACCTCTTCCTCCTCCTCCTCCTCCTCCTTCTCCTCCTCCTCCTCCTCCTCCTCCTCCTCCTCCTCCTCCTCCTCTGCGTCTCCCTCGCGTAGTTCTGCAGCGCGTCCAGGGCGGCGAAGCACGCGGCGCGCTCCCGCCACTCCTCCCGGGTCGGCTCCCGCGGACGCGCCCAGATTTGTCTTCAAGGACGGGGGAGCAGAAAACGACATCAAGGACACGCCTAGGGGAACAAACAATAACATAAACATAAAAACTCGGAGGTCCGCGCGGATTCCTCGGATCGGCGCTGGGGCCCACCGGCGGCTCCTCCGGCGCCGCCCCTGGCGGGCTCCGCGCGCCAGGGAGGGGGGTCCAACGCCGATCCGAGAAATCCGCGCGGACCTCCGAATTTGTATGTTTATGTCATTCTTCGCTCCCCTAACGCCGCCGTGGGGAGCCCGTCAGCGTCTTAGTGCTGACTAAGCACCAGGTCTTCGGACAAATACACAGGAGCGACACACTGACGGGCTCCCGACGGCGGCCTGTCGTTGATACTCGTTTGCCCTCCCGCCAGGAGCCGGTCTGACCTCGAAGACGGCCCTCCAAGAATGAGAGGTTTGAGCTTCGGGGGGGGGAAGGAGGAGGAGGAGGAGGAGGAGGAGGAGGAGGAGGAGGAGGAGAGGAGGAGGAGGAGGAGGAGGAGGAGGAGGAGGAGGAGGAGGAGGAGGAGAGGAGGGGGGAGGAGGGGAGGGGAGGAGGAGGAGGAGGAGGAGGAGGAGGGAGGAGGGAGGGAGGAGGAGAGGAAGGAGGGAGAGGAGGAGGAGGAGAGAGGAGGAGGAGGAGGAGGAGGAGGAGGAGAGGAGGACGGAGGAGGGAGGAGGAGAGGAGGAGGAGGAGGAGGAGGAGGAGGAGGAGGGAGGGAGGAGGAGGAGGAGGAGGAGGAGGAGGAGGGAGGAGGAGGAGGAGGAGGAGGAGGAGGAGGAGGAGGAGGAGGAGGAGGAGGAGGAGGAGGAGGAGGAGGAGGAGGAGGAGGAGGAGGAGGAGGAGGAGGAGGAGGAGGAGGAGGAGGAGGAGGAGGAGGAGGGGGGAGGAGGAGGAGGAGGAGGGACCTCCAAGAATGAGAGGTTCGAGCTGCGTGGCTGCAACAAATTGCTTCCGCTCCTGTCAAGCCGCCAGGTGCGTTCTCGCCGCCACGGCTAGGTTCTCTTCGAGATTCCAGTCAGAACGCCCCCCTGGACACGTTCAGGGGATTTTTTTGTCGGGAGGAGGAGGGAGGAAGGAGGAGGAGGAGGAGGAGGAGGAGGAGGAGAGGAGGAGGAGGAGGAGGAGGAGAGGAGGAGGAGGGAGGAGGAGGAGGAGGAGGAGGAGGAGGAGGGGGAGGAGGAGGAGGAGGAGGAGGAGGAGGAGGGGGGAGCAGGCGGAGGAGGAGGAGGAGGAGGAGGAGGAGGAGGAGGAGAAGGAGGAGGAGGAGGAGGAGGAGACGGAGGAGGGACCGGAAGGAGAAACATGATCGAGGTTCGAGTATCGAGCTTTCTCTGCTGGACGCGCTTGGCCCCTCCGGAGACCTCTGGAGGGGCCCCAGGCTGACCCAGGCTTCCACCCCACCCCTTCCCACGCTGTGGAGCAGAGCTGCTTTCCCAACTGAAGCTGCAACTTTCTGCCCAGGGGTCCTGAGGGAGAAGCCTGGGAGGAGCACCGAAGCCCTCTCCGAAACCAGAACGCTTCCTGTAACATGCTCGGGACGAGTGTCGCTCCCTCCCGTCTCCCCCATCGAAGGCCACTTGCCACGAATTTCGTTGCCTGGTGGGCTGGGGCGGGTAGATAGAGTCTAGATCTCCGATGTCTGCATTTTCACACGACTTCCCCAGAGCCTCCGACCATTTCTCCAGGACAGGTTTTTCATCCCGAGGTCATTTTTGCCACTGCCCTGGGGCCCGACACCGGTACAAAGGGGCCGAAAACAGCCCAAAAAGAAGGCTTGTTATTTCAAATACGGTGTATGTCTGGGTGTTATCCGGCTGTCCATCCTCCGCCAGCCACTCTGGATTGTTCGGGACGGCGGCGTCGAGATTTGGGATGACGACGACCTCCAGCGCCAGCAGGTCCTTGACCGCCTCCGCCTTCAGGTCCATGCGTGACATGCCCCGCTGCCTCAGCAGCTTCTTCACCAGGCTGCATACGCTCTTCACCCTGCCCAGGAGAGACCATAATCGAATCGACACGTCGGACCAGCGACCGACACGAATCGAATCGGCGGAGAGCGGCATCCAGATCGAGAGAAATCGAATCGGCAGACATCGGCAGGCCAGCAGGGCCTCCGTTGAGCAACCGAGCCGAGTCGAGTCGGCACCGGAACCGATCGAAAGACCGAGGCGAATCGAATCGGAGGAGTCGAGATGAGCTTAAGTCGGGCCTGTCCCCCTACAGGGGGATTTTGGACGAGAAATTAAACATACCCAAAAAAAACAAATGGTCCAATACTCAAAACATCGTCCCCATATTATTCTTGGACTATTTCTGGATATCCCCCCTGTAGAGGGACAGGCCCGACTCAGAGATGCGCCCTGCCTGCCCTTCACCGAGAACGTGGCCAGGTCCGAGACGCACGGCTCCCTCTCCAGCGCCCTCCGCACCTCGGTCATGCACCGCGCCATCGTGCGGCCGAGCAGCGCGTCCTCCTGGCTCATCCAGTCCTCGATCATGCGGTACTCCACTGGGAAGTGGAGCCTGGGTCTGCTCCACTCGGGCGCTCGCTGACGGGGGGCACATGTTCCCCCCGTCGGTGCTCACACTGAAGGGGTCTCCGCGGAGACCGAGAGATTTGGCGAAAGCCCCCGGCCGATTTCGGCCGGGTTACTGGGTTCCTGGTTCCGAGGTTCCCAGGTTCCCGCCACCTGTCGGCAGGCGGCTGGATTCCTGGGTTCCCAGTTCCGGGTTCCGAGGTTCCCAGGTCAGGGCTCCAGGTGGATTTCTGTGGACGGCTGAGTTGCAAAGTTCCCGGTTCCCGGCGCTGCAAGGTCGGTTGGGTTCCCGGGTTTCTGGCTCGGGGGTTCCCGGCAATCTAAAATGAACTGGGTTCCCAGGCTCCCGGCTCGGTGGGCGGTTTGGCTCCTGGGGGGCCCGTTCCCGATTCTGGGGTGCCTGACGCTGGAAGTTTTGGTGGGCTTTCGGCTGCCCAGATCCCGTGTCTGGATTCCTGGCACTTTTTTTTTGGGGGGGAGGGAGAAAATGGGAGCAGACACCGAAACTGTACACCACGCGGCTGGGGCGGACAAATCCTGCCCCCCAAGACAGGCAGCGGCCAAGATGTGGTGTTCGACTATAAATGTCTGGATTCCTCTCCTCCTCCTCCTCCTCCTCCTCCTCCTCCTCCTCTTTCTCCGCCCCTCCTCCTCCTCCTCCTCCTCTCTCCTCCTCTCCTCTCTCTCTCCTCCTCCTCCTCCTCCTCCTCCTCCTCCTCCTCCTCCTCCTCCTCCTCCTCCTTGTCCTCCTTGGATCCCTGGCGCTGAGAAGTTCTGGGGATGATGATCGATGTCCTGGTTGCGGCGGGGCGCGGGTGGAGGGAAAACGGGGGCGGCGGGCGGCGGGCCCAGCAGGCGGGCCTGAGACAGAGCCGACTGGGAGGAGGAGGAGGAGGAGGAGGAGGAGGAGGAGGAGGAGGAGGAGGAGGAGGAGGAGGAGGAGGAGAAGGGGGAGGAGGAGGAGGAGAGGAGGAGGAGAAGGATGAGGAGGACAGGAGGAGGAGGAGGAGGAGGAGGAGGAGGAGGAGGAGGAGGAGGAGGAGGAGGAGGACAGGAAGGAGGAGGAGGAGGCAGCACGAGGAGGGGCAGCAGGGTGAGGAGCGAACGTCGCTCCAGAGGAAGAGTCGCCTACCTACCCGTGCGTGCACGTGCAGCATCTAGGCAACGAAGTAAGTGCTGTGGCCCAGAACCAGGATGCGCTGATATGATAGCGTGCAACTGGTGCGTCAGGCTAAGCCTCAAGACCGACCGATCGAGCGAATCATCGGGGGTCGAGGCATGGTCCAGAGGGGACCCAAGACAAAGCTTCATTAATACAGAGTTGGAACAAAAATCCCGAGGAAAACAGGCAGCCCACCACAGGTGCCGACACCTCAGATAGTGGGACATATTGTCAGATCCATTCTCACAACCGAATTTACAAGGGGCCGAACGGACGTTCGTGACATGCATTCTGGCCGCTGTGGGCCGTGCTCCACACATTACTTTGATCACCGCCCACCTCACCCCCCTCCCTTTATTACGAAGGACGCTCTTAAGCGCCTCCCATCTCTGCGCCAACACACGGGTGGCGGGCGCACGCACCTGCCACGCAGCCAACCTCTTCCTGAATGTGACAGGAAAGGAGTCAAGATAGAGGAGAGACGAGAGGATGGAGCGGAAGGTGGACTGGAAGGAAAAACGCTTTTTCCTCCTCTCACGATGGGGCTGCGCCAGCCACGCAGCCTCCACTGCCTGCGAGCGCCTCTTCGCGGCGCGCAGGCAGGCCTCCGTCCGACGGCGGTTCCTGGGCCTGCTGGTCGGCGTGCAGCACACCAGGGCGTCCCTGAGATGACGCGCAGGCCCACGGCGGTCCTGCCACCACGCCGGCGCGAAGAGGTCGGTCGGCAGGTCCGCTAGCCTGCACAGCGCCTCGCCCCGCACGTCTTTGAAGAAGTTCTCGACGCCCTCGAGGAGGGCGAGCCACTCCGTCGGCAGCTTGATCGCCGCCCTCATCCTCGCAGCCATCGCCGAGGCGAAGAGGGAGAGCGGCGCCGTGACGCCCAGGGAGGAGCCCAGCGCCAGGAGGCAGTCCTTCCTGAACGACTTCGGCGGTACGCGCAGCAGCACGTGCAGCAAGTCCAGCTCCTTGTCCACGAGCCCGTCGGGGATCGGGAAGAGCATGGCTACATAGAGCAGGCGCGGGATCGCCAGCCCGTTGTACGCCTGGACCACTGCGTCGTTGGAGAGGGCACTGGCGCCCAGCGCCCTCGTCCTCGCCGCATACTTGGCCGCAGGGTCGTGCCACTGTCTGGCGAGGTCGGCGCCAGGCCCCAGCCAGCAGCCCAAGTACTTCGTCATGGAGGCGACCGAGAAGCCTGACCAGCCCGCGGTGCTCGCCTCGAGCACGCTCTTCACGTAGACCACGATCGCCTCCGTAATCGGCGCCCAGAGCGGCACCAGGAAGCACTTGGACAGGTTGAGCTCCAGGCACGCCAGCGTCTGCATCGCCATGAAGATCGGGCCGATCCGCGGCAGCAGGGCCAGGTCGCGGAGCACCATCCCCACGTCATCCGCGCAGCCCTCCACGTCGCCCTTGCGTTGCACTATGGGCAGCTCTGGCTTCCAGGACTCCCACCGCCACGGCATGTCCAGGACGAAGGCCATGTGCTCTAGGAAGGGCGAGAAGAGCAACGCCCAGAGCGAGCCCGACATCGGACAGCCTTGCGCCACACCCGCCGTGACAGTGAAGGCCTCCAGCAAGTCCTCGCCTACCCGCAGCCATGCCATCTGTTTGTCGTACATGGCGCCGATCAGGGTCCTCACGGAATCGCAGAGGCCGCACTTGTCCAGGACCAGCGCCATCCAGAAACGGCTGACGCTGGGGAACGCCGCCTTCACGTCGAACGTGATCAGCGCGGGGTGCCCTCCCTTCGTCTCACTGAGCGCGCTGAATGTGCGCGCCATCAGGTCCAGCTTGATGATGTTCGGGATGAACGTCCTGCCACGGACGAACCCATGCTGGACCGCCGAGGCCTCCTTCCTCGCCACCCCTGCAAGTTCATGGTTGACCACGGTCGCGATCATCTTCCTGTCCGTGTTGAGCAGCATGAGCGGCCTTAGCGCACCAGGCCGACGCACCACCTCCGACGCGCTGAACGCCTCCCCACTCTTCGGGATCAGGACCAGCAGCCCGTGGTTGAAGTCGTCGGGGAAGCCCAGCCCCGCAAGCGCCTCCTGGCAAAGCCGGTACAGCCAGGCCACCGCTGCAGGCGACCGCGCCCAGGCGACGTAGGGCAGCCTGTCAGGTCCAGGGGCCACGTCGCGTCCACGCTGAGCTGCTCGTAGTAGATCCTCCTCGCTGAAGGCAAAGTCCTCGCGTGCACTAGCGGGCGCGAACCATCGCTCGATGTACTCCCTCGCCGCCTCCTCGTCGATATCTTTCTTCCTGAAGATGGGGCCCCAGTACTCGCGCACCGCGGCCAGCATAGCGTCGGCGTTCTTCACCGTGACATCAGATGGCCGCTCGGAAACGCTCTCCAACGCAGGCGGGGCAGGGAGCTCTTCCGTCACACACACCTTGACGCCGCTCAGCTGCCAAACGGGCAGCTTGCGGAGCCACAGCTGGGCCTTCTTCACTATGCTGCCCTGCTTCCGCTTCCAGTACTCACCCTCCTGAGCCTGCGCCGTCGCAAAGGCGCGGCGGGCACGTCTCGCAGCGTCCTGACGCCGCTCATCCAGCATACGCTCCGTGGTGGCGCGCACGACTTCCCCGAAAACCAGGGTGTCGTTCGCCAGCACCTTGCCATCTTGGATGCGCAGGTGCCTCCGAGCCAGAGGGGGGGACTGGATCAGCAAGCGCGCCGTGGTGCCGTCGTTCGTCCAGACCGTCCTGGCCGCCGAGCGCATCACCAGGGCGTTGAGCTCCGCGCCCTGCGAAACGTTCTGCAGGTCGGCGAGCGCAATCATGTGGTTCCTCGTGGCCTTCGCCGCTGAGACCATGGCCCGCTTGGCAGCAGCCCACTCCTCATGAACGTCTCCGTCAGTTCCCCGACTGCGAAGCATATCCTGTTCGGCAGCATGCAAATCCTTGAAATACTTTGGATACTGTTGCGACTTGAAGACGAAGGCGGGGATCTTCCTCTCCGCCATCGGCCTTTCCTTGCGGAGACCCAGTACGAGCCCCACAACCCCGTGATCACTCAACCTGCGCAGCGACAGCGTCGCAGGGTCCGCGTCGACCGTGCGGGTAGCACGGAGGCAGGGGTACGCGTCCCTCGGCAGGCTGGTGAAGAAGCGGTCCAGCGTGGAGGCGGAGTCCGAGTGCCTGTCGTAGTGCGTGGCATCCTTGCCGTTGATCTCCACGCTCTCGTCGAAGAGGTCCCGCCAGAAGGATCTGGCCTGGTGGTCACGCACGGGGGACCTCATCGCCGTCGGCGTCGGCATGCGGTAGTAGCGCCGATCACCCACTGGTAGATTGAAGTCGCCGCCAGCAACACAGAGCTCCTGCAGCGGGGACCTGCGCGCCTCCCTCATTGCCCTACGCCATGCTGTCGCCACTCTCGATTTGTCCTCAGCGCTGAGATCGTGGTTGTGCACGTTGATGAGGGTGACCCCGACGCGGCACTCGTCAGCCTCTGCAGGCAGGTGCGTCACCGAGTCGGGCTTCCGCGCCACCGCACTGATCTTCACCATTAACACTCGTCCAGGGACCAGCTCCGTAGTCGTCGAGACTGGGTGCCACGATGGACGCAACTCCTCCCATTCATGCAGCTCTGATGATGGGATCAGCGTGGCCACACCGCCGCCACGCCCATCGCGAAGAGCAGAGAAGTGGGTCTTGTAGGAGAAGGGCTGCGAGCGCACGAACGCCTCCAATATGACCGCCGCACCATGCGTCTCCTGCACCATAATCACATACTTCTTCGCCATATATGACCGCAAAATTGCTAGCTTGCGTCGTCTACGCAGAGGATCCCGTAGAAGCAGACCGCGCGCATTCCACGAGATGACCTTCAGGGGACTGTTGAACACTTCCTCATATTGGTACTGCCACGGGCGCCAGCGCGCCGAGCAAGTGTTAGGGACACCACTGTACTTCTCTGGACCCACTGCCGACCATGCGATTGAACACCTCCTGCACTTTGCTCTTGTCGATGCCCAAGTTTGCCACCATCGGGTTGTTCCAGCGCAGCTCCGTCGGGGCATCCTCCTCCGTGACCAGGACGCTGGCCACCTCCACGTTGTCAAACTTGACCTCCCCCTTCGCTTTGTTTGGCCACCAGCGCCCAGCTCCTCCGCGCACTTCCTCCAGAGCCTGGCCAAGGCGCTTGGTGTGCAGCTCCACCCGCAGGGAGCGCTTGGACTTGTCCATGTTGATGTACATCCTGCGGCCGCCGGCCGTGAAGCTCCTCCATCCGCTCGGCGTGCGGAGGTGCGTGGCCAGCCTCTTGGCGCGCTCGTAGCCCACCACGCCGCCCGTGAGCTCCAGCACGTAGTGTTTCCCAGACGGGAGGGAGTGGAGCGAGTACTGACCACTCGACACCATGGCAGCCTTGAACCATTCCTCAAGACCGACGATGATCTCCGCGCTCGTGACGCCCGACTCGACCTGGATCTGGAAGAGGTTCGGAGCCGCAGGCCTGTCCCACATCTCCTGCCTCGCTGCCTGAAACAGTGGGACCTGGGCCTCCGCGCGCTCCAGGGCCTCCGTGATGCTCTGGACAGCCACGCGCAGCTCCTCGTTGGACGCCTCGAGCCTGTGCTGTCGTTCCCGCATGCGGGCGACGTCCGCGTCGACCACCGCGAATCGAGCCGAGCACTCCTGAGCATGGGTGGCGACGACCGTGGCCATCTGTGCCTGGGCCGCCGACGTCGTCGCGTTGAGGTTGGCCGTCGCCTCGGCCAGGATCCGCTCCAGCTCTTGCGCCACGCTGGCGGGCAGCCCTGCGGCGGAAGCCAGTGCAGGAACTCCTCCCCCCGCAGGCGCGGCCGCAGCAGGGGCAGCCGCATCTGCTCCAGGTGGGCGTACCCCCTCCGTGCTGCTCCTGCCTCCACGACCACTCCCTTGACGCCAGGGGTCCCGTTCTTGTAGATGATCCCGCCCACGATCGCGGTCTCTATGCTGTCTGCGACGGCGGCGCCGAGCTCCTTCTCCACTACGAGATGCAGACCGCTCGGCGTCCGATGCATCGCTCCGACTCGACGACCTGTCACTGCCACCAGTCCGCCCAGCAGCGCCAGCAGCACAGCCATCGCCAGCCTGCGTGCCATCCCGCACAGGGCCCATGGCCTCGAGTCTGGATGCGCTCGGGCCGGCAGGAACGGGAAAGGCCTCCGTTTACCCGCCGACCCGAGCGCTGGTGAGGTGGACCGAAGAAGATGCCAGACCTCAGGAAGTCTTGCCAGCCGCGGACTAGCGGTATCCACTTGTTCCCCTGCGGAACTCATCATCTTGAGCCAAAATGGCTACTGAGGCAGCAGGGTGAGGAGGAGGAGGAGGAGGAGGAGGAGGAGGAGGAGGAGGGGGAGGAGGAGGAAGAGGAGGATCGAGGAGGATCGAGGAGGATCGAGGAGGATAGAGGATCGAGGAGGACCTAGGAAGCCAGCACCCCCATCGGTGCCTGAGGGCCATCTGCTCCAGCGAGGGCGTCAGGCGCTCGCCGGCGCTGGAGGGCGCCCCGCCCCGGCTGCGCGCGAGGGCGTCGAGGCCCAGCCCGTGCGCGAGGGGAGCGTGGAGGTCCAGAACGCAGCGCGCCAGCGCACGCCCCTTCGCGCGGCAACTGCCCAACCCTGAGATCCTTGTCTGGAGTCCTCCAAGGTGGGGTCGGAGCGGATGGGGTCGGAGGCGCGACCCTCCGATCCCATCTACTCCAACCCCATCTAGGGAGCCTGGACTGCCGGCGGCGAGCGCGGGGGGGGGAAGTGCGAAGGAGAAGGCGCTCTCAGAAGGTGGCGGGGCTTCTCAAAGCCCTCGCGCCTGCGGAGGCGTTCTCTGTGTCTCCGGGGGAGACCGAGAAGACGTCTCAGAAGGCCGGGGGACTGCCGAGGCTTCCGAGAAGGCCCGCCCCCTCTCACTTCCCCCCCCCGTCCTGGCCGCCGACCTTGGCTGCGTGATCACCGACCCCTAACCAAAGAAACACGGGCGACGAAAAGAGAAGGGTCTTTACGTGAGATGACACAGCGACCTTGCGCGGCGGCTTACGTTGGCCGCCAGCGCGGCACGCTACGCTGGAAGCAAGGGCGCTTGCGCGCGACCTTACGCGGGCAGCTTACGCCGATGCCGGTGAAGATGGCCCCGCTTGTCTTTTGCGTCGCTCACATGACTGCGCATGTTGGACATACATTGACAGCTCTCTGTCGCCACATTGTCAGTGACGAGCCACGTCCGTATCGCAGAACATGGGGGGGAGGCTGGGAGTGGGGATGCAACTCGTCAGGAAAAACCTTGACGGGATCTGTGGCCGCCGCGATCGCCGCGGCGAGCTCCAAAATCGACCCTAATGGCTTGGCTAGGGATAGAGTATCACGCAACGAATCCTGGCGTCGCATTCGTTTCGCACCGCGCGTTTCGCCTCGTTTCGGGCCCTGGAAGGCCTTCAAAGATCGATGCGGCTCGAGGAGTGCCGCAGAAGCATGTGGTCTGTAAGGCTCCGGCCCTGACTTTTTAGCATGTGCTTTTGTCTCGCGACGCCGGATCCCAGGGCGTCGCAGCTGAACAAGGGTAAAGTCGGGACTGTCCCCCTACAGGGGGATTTTGGACGAAAACTTAAAAATGCCCCGAACATGCTCCCAAATGGTCAAAAAGCACTAAAAAATGGTCCCCAGATCATGTTTTGACTATTCTTGAGCATTCCCCCTGTAGGAGGGACAGGCCCGCCTTACATCGCCTTACAACAAGGGGGGAGTCCCCGCTGGGGTCGCAGATCTCCAGCGGCGTGAGCTCTCCTCGGCCCTGGCGCTCTTCCTCGGCCTCGGCCCGTGGGGCCCTCTGGAATGAGGGGCAGCGGTAAGAGGGCGTAGTGGACGCCACGACACTGGACACTCGAACAATCCCATCATTGGATTAAACATGTGCTTCAAATGTGTAGAACATGTTCTAATCATGTTTCAAACATGTTTTAGCATATTTTAAACATGCTTGATACATTGTTCAGACAGGAAATTCATTGGCAGCATGCTTCCTCTCCATTAATCGACTTCCACATGGGTAGGCTCAGGGGGGGGGGACATCGATCTGGAATCGGCGACACATCGCCGATAGGGGCCCGATAGCCCACCCCGCCCAAGTGCGGATTCGCCCTCGGGGACCTATCGCCGATCTATCGGGGATGCATCGCCGATTCCAGCTCGATGCCCCCCCCCTGAGCCTACCTCCTCCCCCCCCCTTCGCGGCCCCTCACGAGACGGGTCCGGGACGAGAAGGCACCTCTGGGGAAGAGGTCGGGACCTCTGGGTTGTCAGACACCTGGGGCAGTGGACGTCGCCTGACCGCCTCACCGACCCACCGCCGGCGACGACGACGACGACGACGGCGACGACGACGACGACGACGGCGACAGCGGCGACGACGACGACGACCAACGGCGACGACGACGACGACGTCGACCGACCAGCCATGGGCCGGTGCACGCAGGCCCTCCCGGCAAGGGGCCAGAGAGGCACGCGCACCGGACCTGGGCCCAGGGCCGGCCTGCGGCAAGGATCGGTGAGGCGGTCAGTGGGCGTTCCCCCGATCCTACATCTGTTGGAGGCATGGAAATTGGCACCAACACCAGCACGGGGGGTTGCCTCCACGTGGGGAAGATGATCCTAGATTTCGGTGTTGGTGGTAATTTTTCGGTCACCCTGGAAGCCAGAATATTACCACCATCACCGAGATTGGGATCGACTTCCCTCGGAGGAGGCACACCGCCGATCTTGGTGTTGGTGTCAACCTCTAGGCCTGCGAATCTGAGGGGGTCGTCGCCACCTCCTCGAAGAAGAGAGCCCCTCAGGACCCCGCAGACCCCGCCTGGGCGCCCCAAGCGCCGGAGATCGTCGAACGACTACCTCCTCGACGTTGACATTCGTCGCTCTGTTTTTTTTCAAATCTGCGGCCCCAGAAAAGTCCTGGCCGCTTCCCTGGGGCCACTCATTCGCCCCGGCTCCGTTATTGATGGCTGCATGGCCCCATGAAGGCGCCCAAGGGCCGAAACTGAGGAAAATCCTGCTGGCTGCACTAACCCAAAGCGAAAAGCAAGGTTCAACGAGGCGGAAGAGGAGGAGGAGGAGGAGGAGGAGGAGCGAAAGGAGGAGGAGGAGGAGGAGGAGGAGGAGGAGGGGGCGGAGGAGGAGGAGGAGGAGGAGGAGGAGGAGGAGCTTTCGCTCCGGCTGCAGCGCATCCAAAGAGGAGTCGGAGTCGGAGTCGGAGTCGGAGTCGGAGTCGTAGTCGGAAGCCTCGGCAGCTCGGATGTCCTCATCTCTTATCGGGAAGAGGCGCTACTCGATTTATTGTCGAGCTGGTTGCTGCTGGCAAAATCGTTCGGCATTGCACGGGGAGCCTACAGGATCCTATGGCGTATGAGGCCTTCTGGGCCTGTTCCAGCACTGGGCCGAATCCCCCTGGAAGAAATCACGGAAAGATGGGCGAGGGCTTATCGCGCTCAGGTGCATCACCCCCGCTCGCGGGCGAGGAAACAAATCATCGCACAAATAACCGATGCCTCTTGTGGCATGCTGCTATCACTGAGAAGTGCAATCCCAAGTCCCCTCCACACCTCCC